CTGCTCTAGAGCAACATCTGGACCGCCGCCTGTCGGGGCCGGTTCACTCTAGAGCAACATCTGCAACGCTGCCCGCTGGGGCCGGTTCACTCTAGAGCAACATCTGCAACGCTGCCCGCTGGGGCCGGTTCACTCTAGAGCAACATCTGGAACACTGCCCGCCAGGGTCGGTTCACTCTAGAGCAGTGGTCTCCAACCCTGGTCCTCAAGATCTACTGTCCTACAGATTTTAGATGCATCCCTGCTTCAACACAGCTGAATCAAATGAATGGCTTGAAAAGGTAATCAATCATTTTATTCAGCTGTGTTGAAGCAGGGATGCATCTAAAATCTGTCGGACAGTAGATCTTGAGGACCAGGGTTGGAGACCACTGCTCTAGAGCAACATCTGGACCGCCGCCCGCCGGTTCACTCTAGAGCAACATCTGGAATGCTGCCCGCCGGGGCCGGTTTACTCTAGAGCAGGCATCCCCAAACTCGGTCCTCAAGGCCCCCTTTCCTGCAGGTTTTACAGGTTTCCCTGCTTTAGCACAGCTGATTATAACGATTACAGTAGACCAAAAGCCTGTTAATCAGCTTTCAATTAAAATCAGCCGTGCTGGAGCAAGGAAACCTCTAAAACCTGCAGGACAGGGGGCCTTGAGGACTGAGTTTGGGGATGCCTGCTCTAGAGCAACATCTGGAACGCTGCCCACCAGGGTCGATTTGGTCAAGACCTGCAGACGTTAGATGTTGTCTAAAAGCTTCTGCTACATTTTCAAAATCTCTTTTGATTTTTTAAATGTGCATTTAGTACAGAAACAAGATTTGATTTTTTTTTATGTCTTTGATCACAGAGGAATGTTTCCCGTTTTTCCCACAGCGTTCCAGATGTTGCTTCCCACTGAATGTCCCCCCCTCCCCCACAGGTCCGGGCCCAGCTGGATGCAGAGAAGAACATCACGGCACTGGTTCCCAAGCAGCCCCTGGAGGTCCATGAGACCGTGGCAGAGTGCATGATCTATGCCAACCACTGGGTGGCGCGTAAGATCCAGGAAGCTTTTCCCTGCCGGGCGCTGCTGAGGCGCCACCCTCCGCCACGACAGGAGTTTTTCGATCTACTGGTGGAAACGGCCAAGGCCAGGGGGTTCTGCATGGACACCAGGTGGGTTCTGCCCCACTCTACCTTCACATCTGAACCCAGAACCGGCCTAAGGCTGGACTCTGCTTATTATAACTCTGGTTTTTCTCCTGCAGTACCAACAAAGCCTTAGCCGACTCTCTGGACCAAGCCGTTGACCCAGAGGACCCGCTGGTGAACAGGCTCCTAAGAATGATGGCCACCCAGGCCATGTCCCAGGCACTGTACTTCTCCACCGGCAGCCAGCCAGATCACCAGTTCTACCATTACGGTAAACCAGTTCCAGTAAGGGTTCCCCTCGTGTTCCGCTCCTCCTGACCGGTTCCTTTCTGCACCGCAGGTCTGGCTCTTGACCGCTATACGCACTTCACCTCCCCGATCCGCCGGTATGCCGACATAGTGGTCCACCGCCTCCTGACCGCCGCCCTTCAGGTGGAGCAGGAGGCGGAGCCTGCCACGAGGCTGGAGGGGAACAAAGACCTTGAGGAGCTGTCTGAGCACATCAACACAAGAAACCGGGTGAGAACTTGCGACTGGATCCACGGCTCCACTGTTCTGCCTTCTCTAAATGTTCTGTGTGGCGCCCACAGGCGGCCAAGCAAGCCCAGACCCAGTCCGTCGCATTGTTTCAGTACCTCTTCTTCAAAGAACGGGATCCTCAGACCGACCCGCGCTGCGTGGCTGACAGCATCATATACACCATCAGAGACAATGGTGTCCTGGTCTTAGTTCCAGAGTAAGCAACCAGCATGAGAGATCCTCTCTGTTCAGCCTTCAGGTTCTGTCAGGCCAGGAACTGGTTCTGAGCGGCTGCGCTGTTTGCAGGTACGGCGTGAAGGGCCCGGTCTACTTGAAGACCAAAACAGGCCAGGTGGTGACAGCAGGCCCAGACGGTACCTGCGAGTGGCAAAGCGGCACTGTGCAGCGTCACCCAGACCACATCGTCACCACGTGTGGCTGCGGCAGCACCACCTTCAGGCTGTTTGATCACATCACGGTGAGTGGAAACCATCCAAGCCCAGTCGTTAGTCACACCGTTAAACAGTCGGATAGAAGATAAAGTCCTTTCCCAGACTGGTTCGGCCCGTTTGGACACAGATCGGGTCCAAAGTCTAGAATAGAACATTTCCAATGTTCCAGCTGTAAATTAAGGACCAATTATTGGAAAGATGCAATATTTGAAAGTAGAACCCGAGCTGTGCCTGCAGTTCCCTGCTGAAGGCACCAGGGGGCTCCTATGGTTTGCTGATTACCCAAAAAAAGTGAAGCCGCCTTCCGCCATGCTCACTCAGGTTGTGGCTGATGGACCTACAGTTACTGGACCCCAACATTTTTAATAGGGTTTTGTATTTTCCAAAAATCAGCTAAACACATATTTATTAAAGGGTTCCTACAGCATAAGGCAAGTTAAATTCAAGACTTTTTAATGCCACTTGAAATAAAAATTTAAGACCAAATTCACAAGAAACACAAGAAAAACCTGCTTGCGACAACTTAACCCAAAGGTTTATTTTAACCACTGCACTAATGTTTAGATTTTGAAAAGCTTCCCATACAGGAAGAAAGCTAAAAACACACAAATGACAGATATATTTTAACAATTATTTAACTGAATTCACAAACTTTGTTTTAGCAGGGAACAAAACAAATCAGTTTTAAAGCCCCAACATAACCAGTGCTAAGTCTTTTTTGCAGCTATTTTTCTTTGTATGGTTTTCTTAGTATGTTTGATTTGGTGATAAGTGGAGGCGTTGCAGAGACAAGGGTGGAACTAAACTGAGAAATACCGGCTGTTTCTCAGTAACTCCATTTTGACGCTTTGTGTTTCGTGCTTCGCATGTGCGACTTCACTGCCTTAATTTCCATCGTTCTGAGCTTGAATCGCTTCTTGCGCAAAATCCACTGAGCCTCATGTATGTTCCCTGGTTTTAGCCATGGAGAAAACTCTTGGCTGGAGACAATTTTCGTTACATTTACACTTGCTCATATTTTCCAGACAAAAAGTAAATGGTGCATCTCCCAAATGTCCCGGCCGCAACAACGCTTTTATTGGTTCCGCTATCGGGACGGAACCAATAATGGCGAGCTGTAATTTTTTCTTTTAATAAAAAAAAAAAAAAAAAGGTAAATTTTAATGTTTTATTTAGATTACAAAATAAATCAAAATAAAAATAATCCTATTTATGATGTTTTAAAAATTAAGACCTATGAAAGACTGATTTAAGACATTTTAATACCAATTAAGGCCTTAATTTTATTTTGAAGAATTCAATGCCTTTTAAGACTTTTCAAGGACCCGCGGGAACCCTGTATTAAATTTTTTCCTAGTTGAGAACACACAAATACCACAATACACTGATATTTTTGATTTATAGGTACTTAGACAAATGCCTTTTAGTGCATTATTTATAAAGGGCTCAAAAACATATGTAAAAAAAAAAAAAGAAAAACGAATAACAGCCGATTCCCAACGCCAACACATTTCAGCACTGCTGTATTTTAAGGAAATGAAAATGTTCTGAAAGCTATACAAAATTAAATTTCAATAAAAGTCGTCTAAGTCAGCAATATATCATGGATCCGATCCAGAATAATATGGATGGTTTCCCTTTAAGCTGCATCAGTGATGATCCTATTTCACAAGCAGTAAAAACAAATTTAGAAATTTGTCCCATATATCGTCAGCAGCCTAACTCTATGTATGAAGATTATATTTAAAAAATAATTTATCCAATTTTTACTCTTATTTGTACTTTATTTCTTGTAGGTTTCTTATATTTAAATTATTCACTTTTCCAGATTCTGAGACTTTGACCCAATTTGAATATAAAAATGAAAGTATAATTTTGGGATATTTCTGCACTGATCGAGTTTTAAAGATGAGCCTGGAAGCTCTGAAAACCTTCCGATCTGATCCGGGTCGGTACCGCTCCAAAGTGGGCTTAATTCTGCTCCATCTGAAGTGTTGGACCACCCAGAACTCAGGGATCTTTTTGTCCCGTCCTCAGGTCCGGATCTCTGTCCTACCCTCCAACTGCCACGCCGACACCCTGAAACTGGAGGTCATCAGCAACAAGCCGCATCGCAGTTCGGCGCCGCAGCGGCCCGATTCGCAGGGACGCAGCCAGCTGGTCCAGGAGGTGGTGCGGCTCGCCGAGGAGGCGCAGGAGAAGGCAGCGCAGCGACCCAAACTCTCCAAGTGGGAGCGGGAGTTCCAGCAGAGCAGAGCTCCTAACCTGTACTCCGTCCTGGAGGAGATCCGGGAGCTGGCTCTGATGGACCCGGACACAGCCTCCCGGTTCTGTGCCAGCACAGCTTAGAGGAGCCCAGCTGCTGCAGAACAGTTCTGTTCTCTGATGAAGAATCGGTTTCGCCGCAGAAAAACCAACTGACACCGGATCTCAGAACCGTTTTTAGCTTATTTATTGGGGTCAAAATGTTGAAATAAGACCAGCTGAAAAATCCAGAACCTTCAGAAACAGGAACAAACACTGATGCTGACCCGGTTCCATTAAAACTAACTGTTTATTATGTTTCATATTAAAATGAATAAACACAGCGCCGGCCCGGCAGGTTATTTCTGGAACAGATTTACGGTTCTGCTTAGAAAGTTTCAACCTGTTTGGTTCTAAATGAATGCACTGAAACCAGAACTCTGCTCATTTCAAACATCAGAAGCGTTTCAGCTTCCAGCTCAGGGAACAGGAAGGTAGATGCAGGGGGTTTGGACCTGCATGGTTCTGATCATTTAAAGGCAGCCCAGGAAATGGGTCGCTCTCCTCTGGGTTTATTCCTGGAGGTCCATAACGTCTTTCTCGCCCTCCTCAAACTGCAGGAGGTTCTGCTGGGATTTCAGCAGGAAGGTCCGGTTCAGTGTGAATTAGCGTCCGAGTGCTGGATCCAGGTCCGTATCTTGCATCTTTTCATTCTGTTCAGCAGAACCTCTGGTCCCTATCCCACCCTGATCAGACACAGTGGGAACCTGAGCTGGAGTCTCGGACGGAGGCCGGGGTTCTGCCGGAAACTCGGAGGGAGGCCGGGGTTCTGCTGGAGCCTCGGAGGGAGGCCGGGGTTCTGCTGGAGCCTCGGACGGAGGCTGGGGTTCTGCTGGAGCCTCGGTTGGAGGCTGAGGTTCTGCCGGAGCCTCGGACGGAGGCTGAGGTTCTGCCGCAGCCTCGGACGGAGGCTGAGGTTCTGCCGCAGCCTCGGACGGAGGCTGAGGTTCTGCCGGAGCCTCGGACGGAGGCTGGGGTTCTGCCGGAGCCTCGGACGGAGGCTGAGGTTCTGCCGGAGCCTCGGACGGAGGCTGGGGTTCTGCCGGAGCCTCGGACGGAGGCGTCTGACGCTGCTCCTCCTCAGTAGAACCACTGAGGAGAGGCGCTTCAGGATGGCTGCTGCTCTCCTTCTCACCCTGGGATGATTCTGCAGAACCTTCAGAAGGTTCTGTGTCTGTAGGAGGAAGAACAGGGTGGTCCAGGTCCTCCATCTTCTTCTCGTCCTCAGCAAAACCATTGTGGACATGCGCTGCAGGAACCGAGCCAGGATCACTTCCTGGTGAGGGCGCTGTAGCAGCCTGGGAATCTGAAGGATCAGAACAAATTCAAACTGTATTTGAAACATTTCCACAGTAAAAAAACGATTTCATTCCTGATTTTAAAGTATTAGAATAAAAGACAGAACCTTAAAGCTCCAAGGTTCTAAAAAAAATCCAATCAGGTCCTGACGAATGCATTCAACAGGAAATTCTTTCATTTCAAGCTATATTTCAAACGGAGGAAGTAAGAAAGGCAGGCGGACATTTTGACAGCAGTAAACAAACGATTCCAGTTTCTTTTCCCAGATTTTCAAGAACTTAGTTAATTTCTAAAATAAAGTAATGCCTGAAGACCAGAGGAGACCCTCAGACGTCCATATGCTTCAGCCGGGCAGTAACGGTTGGAGCGTTTAGCCACCAGTCTGACGAGTTTTATAAAACTACGGCGGCACACCGAACAGCTTCCTTTCTGATGAATACTTCCTGGTTTGATGCCGTCTCTTATTTAGCATTTTAAATGTCCCTTCTGTCTTCCTGGCTTATTTAATCCAAAATTGTTGTATGAAATGGGCTCTAAAATTTATTTGCTTTAGAGCGATCCGCAGTTTAACAGACAGAAACAGCGTTTTGTTGTTTGTAAAACCTGGTAGCTGCTGCTGCTGCCGGGCGAGCCTTCGCTCCAGCGCTCGCTGCCTGTTCAGCTCCATCCGCAGGCGCTGCTCCTCGGTCAGGGAGGGCGGAGTCAGAGCGACGGGGGCCGGAGTGGAGTGGATCGGTTCTGGAGGATTGTTGAAGGGGGTCTGGCTGTAGAACGGGTCTGGATCCTGGAACCCTGGCCCGTCTGTCGGTGGTTCCTCCATTCCTGCAGAATCAAACAGGCAGCAGATTAACATCTCATCTCCTGCCTTTGCTTCCTTCTTCTAATGAAACATCTGTTGTCTGAACGTCTTTTTCCAACCTTTAAAAAGATGCTTTTATCATTTTTCCTGGAAAAGGCAGAACAGACTAACGAGTCAACAGGAACTTAAGGACAAATGAACACCCGTCAAGTTCTGAAAGCTTTAATTTAAGCCTATAGGCAATTGAAAGGATAAAAAAACTGATGATTATCATAAATTATACATCAAAAAACAACTGTAGGATCTAGATCAGGCTTTGGTATAATTTCCTGGGCTGCAACTAAAGATTATTTTAATATGATTATTATTTTAACGAATTATATGAAAAGGTTCCTTAAAGATTTTTTTTTTACAGAATTAAACTAAAATTTTCCACTTGAGATCTGGATAGCGAAATGAAGAAAAAGTTTTTATCTTAATTGTAAAATAGTTATGTATATTTTTTACAATATTTGCATAATTATTGCTCTAATAGAAAATCCCTTTTTTCGTCCCACAATAAAGAATGTGGACCTTAAAAAGTTTATAAAAGAGAAGGAAATACTGCAAAGTGTTTTTACAATATAAAACGGTGCACCTGGGAATAAATAACCAATATACAGCTGTGGACATTTTTACAGTAATGGATATGGATAATTGAAATAGCAGCAACATCATAAATGTGTAAAATGACAGCAGCATGTTATTTAACTGACTAAGATAGAAACTGTGCAAAATCAGCATGAATGGATCAACTGATTGAGGTTGGAGGGAACAGTGAAGGTTATAAAGTCTTCCAGCTGCAGGGAGGAAGGATCTGTGATGACGCTTCCTGGTGCATTTAAGGTGCAGCAGTCTGTCACTGAAGGAGCTCTCCAGTTCAGCAACAGCTTCATGGATGGGGGTTTCTAAGTGAGCTTCTCTGTCAGCTGAAAGTTTTAGACCAGAGGTCACGGATTAGGGGACCGCAGTCCGGATCCGGACCCACATGCTGGCTAATCCAGATCCAACCTGATTTGAAAAATTTCTAAATTACTGCATGTTGTCTGACGACAGTGTCTAATTTCACTTGCGCCACTTCTCCTGTTAATACGGTAAAGCCCTCCGGAGCGTCCGGCACCAGGCTACATGTGATACTAATTATCCAATGAGCTGTCAGTCTGGGCTGCTGCTACTTTTAGACACAGCAGGCAAACCTGTGGCAAGCCGGGCGATGGGAAAGAAGGAGAAGACCATGAGAAAAAGAGAGCAGAGAAAGTGTGGACTGCTGGAAGAACTGCGGTGAACTGGTGAAAGAAAAGTGAAATGCCGTGCTCAAAGATGACCCTGCACATTTAGAGGATGTTTGGCTAAACCTGCTGCTGTGAAGCAGGATTCTCCACCATGAACAGAATTAAAAAAAAAATCTGGATCCAGGCTCAAAATGAGCTCCTTGATATGTGCTTGAGAATGGCTTAGTCTCTGGTTAAACCCAGGTTTAAAGCCTCGCAGGGCAGCCTAAAGCCCACTGCCAACATTAAGACAGAAAAAAGAAAGGAAATAAATGGTCAGTTCAGGTGTTTGATAAAATATGTGAATCAGAAAATTGTCTATATACCAAACTGAACAACTGTTGTTCTCCTTCTTCAAAAAACACTTTTATATTTTAAAATGGAGAAATTTTCAGTTTTTTTTCTATATTTCTTTTTATTTAAAAATTCAATGTATAACATGGATGTATAAAAACCAAATTTTATTTCAGTGTTAAATTCTGTATAAAGTAACAGATTATAATTAAAAATGTCTCCAGACCTTTACTGGTTGACAATTTTCTTTAATTGCTGATTTTTAATTGGTTACCCCTGGCTTAGAGTCTCTGTACTCCAATTAATAATTACTAAATTAGTTGACAATTATTTAATAATTGATTAATCCAACTGTTTCAGACCTGATAATATCAGCAATAAAAGCCAAAACAGGCTTAAACAGCTTGTTTTTAATCTGGAGGATATATGTCTGCCTCAAATTCTGCAGCAGTTTAACCAGAGCTGGAGTTTCAGGCTCTCTGCCCTGATCAGCTTTTCCCCTTAAGGCGCCCGCTGCCTCGCGTCTCTCTTACCCCCTGATTCCATGAAGTCCTCATTGGTCAGGGGCATGTCCAGTCGGATCCGTTTCAGGCAGGTCTGTGATTTAGAGGAAGAGCATTAGAGACGGTTCGGCTGACATTCTGCTCAGAAGAACTCTGCTGCTTCATCTCACCTGAACTTCCTTCTTGCTGCCCAGCTTCTCCACCCTGTCGATAAAGTCTTCAAACTGCAGTTTGGGATACAGCCTATGGGCCCAGTTCTCCATTTTGTGCATCAGCAGCCGCAGGTCCTCGGCCTGAATCAGGGGTCAAACATTGATGATCCATCAGGGCTGCTATAGGAATGAGTAACTCTAATTTAATGCTTTTTAATGCTCTTAGAAATTATTTTTTCCCTTCTCTAGCTTTTTCTCCACCTTGAGCTTCTTTGCCAAGCAAACAGCTTTACAATCAACTGGAAGCAGTTCCCCACAAATATATTGCGATATATCTGACAAAAATAGTTTTTATAAACATATTTTTTTTTCAAATAAAGCATCTTAAATGCAACGATAATCACATTTAATAAATTTCAATCCCAATTAAGGCCTTAATTGGAAGAATAATAATTAAATGATTTTTAATGACCCGCAGAAACCCTGTCCATTTGCCTCTTTATCGTCTTTAAACAGATGTGATGAAGGGGAAATTGCAGCCTTTCAGTTTGAGCATCTGGGAATCTGAATAAAAATGCACTGCTCCTCACCCTCCAGGGGAACAAACATTTATTTGGTTTTACTGAACAATGACGGTAAATAAAACCTGGTTTCTCACCTCGTGTCCTTTGCCTTTGAAGCGGACGTTGTCAAACAAAGTGCGTAGAGCCGGCAGCCCTCTATCTGAAATCAACCTGAGAGGAAATAGCATCAAACATGAGCGACTGGATGAATCAGGCAGTGGGAGAGGAGACCGACCCCAGCGTCCTGTACAGATACCTCTGGGAGTCCAGCTTCGGCTGCGGCCTCTTCACCACCTTCCTTTTAGCAGCAGGAACGTCAGCCAGCTTGGACACCTCGCCTTCCTCTGCTGCATCAGACAACAACCAAACGTTTATCTCATCTGATATTTTCAGACATGAAGTGACTTCAGATGAAGGAATATTCCTGACCGTCTCCAAAAGGATCTTCCAGGCTCTGAGCTCCTCCTCCTCCTCCTCCAGGGGAGTGAGGAGGAGGAAGAGGAGGGAAATCTTCATCCCCCATAGAGTCATGGCTGTGAATGATGCTCATTCTGTCGTCTTCATGGTCACTCATGATGCCTGAATGCAGGGGAACTGAATAAACACAGATTTATGCCTTAGTAAAGCTTCACCATACGCTGAATAGAAATCCTCATGTTTGCAGAATTAATTTCGATGGAAAAATGGGTTCAAGGCAATATGTACCTAATATAATGACCTATAGTGTACAACACAAATCAATCCTATTTCACAGAACGGTTCACATACACTGGAAAAAAAAATCTTTTTTTTCTTAAAACAAGTGTATTTGGTTTTGAATTTAGTCAGCAAAAGAGAGATTTTGCTAATGGAAAAAGACAATTTACACTTAAAATAAGAAAACACAATTGTATTGCATTGTCTTATTTCAGGTGCATTTTATCTAATTATCTTATTTTAACAGTAAAAATACTCATTCCATGGTAAACAATCGCATTTACTTACTCAAATTAAGGATAAATACATTTAATTTAAGACATTTTTACTCATTTCTAGATTGTTTTTCCAGGGTAGTCTTCACCATCATCATAATTCAATAGTGGGGAAAAAAATACAGTCAACTCTTTATAATATGAAGCTGGTGAGAAATTTTCTATTGAAGCTGATTGAATCCTGCAACTAACTTTTCAGCAATGTGCCCACCTGGGGAGCCTGATACCAAACAAACACTGGAAAACTGTGCAGCAGAAAATCACTGCTAATATCAATAACGCCCAAGTTAGGAGAAAATGTTCATCCTAAGTAGATTACTTGGTTTTATGAGTAATTTTATAGTCTAAAAGTTTTCATGGCAACTTATCAGCAGCTGAGATGTTTAAATCTTTTCGTCATTTCTACCAAAATAAACAGAATCAGTTCAGAATCCCTTCTCATCTGCAGTACACTCTGTAGACTCTAGAGGGCAGCAACGCGCGGCCCACTATGAGTAAAAAGCAGCGATGAAGGCGGTAAAATCTAAATTAACTAAATCTAATTCCTTTCTCTTAGAACCGGTTATTAGGTTCCGAATATTCGTCTGCTCTCAGATGATGTCAGATTTATAAAATACTCCTTTTTGGCAGTTTAGAAAAACTGACAGTAAGATATAAATGAGTTACGGATGATATTAATTAGCAGAAATAACAACCAGCAGCTGTTGGAGAAAACATGAAACAAATGAAACCCTCAGTCTGCACACAAACAAAGACATATAAATCACTAAAACAACGCTTAAATATACCTGCTGGTGAACTGCAGCGCGAAATCAGACGAACCGCCACTTCTTCTTCTTCTTCTTATGGGATTTTATGGCGGTTGGCAGACTTGTGAATTGTGCATTACCGCCACCAACTGATATGGAGTAAAGCAAGAAAACAGGAAACGATTCACCCCCCCCCCCAAAAAAAAAAAAAAAAAAAAAAAAAAAAACCTGTGTAACTTAAACCAACATACGACGGAGTATTAGGGCCACACATGAAGAGAAAAAATATTTTTGCCATGACGAGATTAAACTCGACATGTCAACTTTAAAGTCGACATGTCGACATTAAACTCAACATTTCGAGAATAAAGTTGAAATGTCATGTTGAGTTTAATCTCTACGTGTCGACTTTAAACTCGCCCTGTCGACTTTAAACTCGCCATTTCGAGAATAAAGTTGATATATCGTGGCGACTTCAATCTCGACATTCCAAAGTTTGGAGAAAAGAGCAACCGCGCTCCACAGCTGCAGTCTGCTTTTTATGAGTGAAGGTAGTCTTTGACGTGCTGCAACTGTATAATCATCACAGGAAGCGGTGGCCTACCAATAATAACGTAACGTCTTTCCCTATGCTTACCCAGGCTCGCAGTTCTGAATTTGAGAACATGTCAGTCATTTCAACTTTATTCTCGAAATGGCGAGTTTAAAGTCGACAGGGCGAGTTTAAAGTCGACATGTCGAGTTTAATCTCGTCATGGCAAAAATATTTTTTCTCTTCATGTGTGGCCCTAATACTCCGTCGTACCAACATAATACTAAATCACATTTGCCCGTATAATTTTAATTTACTCTAGGTCATCTTAACTCTGCCAGTTTCTGATGGTCCCATCGGTCCTCCCATCATACTTCCAACCATCTCCCAGTTCAAATCTTTAATGTCCAGATATTTTTCTGCAGCCTTCACTATTATTTTGATTTTTTCCGTTTTTTTTGTTGTCTGTGCAGTACAATTAATTACTTCTACCATGAAAAGAACAAAATTTGTCTTTTTAACAATAAGTGAGTCTTCATCAATTTTTAGAGATTTCTCTAGAGGTTTGGAATTTGCTGTGTGTTGAACTGTAGGTTTGGGTTTTTCTGACTGAGATGGGATCCTTTTTGCAGCTTCAGCGTAGGTTATTCCGAGCTCAAATTTCATTTTTTTAATTTCCTCAGACCTTTTGCTTGCTTCACAGCCGCGATAGGCAGCAGTATGTTCTCCACCACAATTACAGCATTTTATTTTAGCTTCTTTTCCACATTTTCCGTACTCATGTTCTCCTGCACACCTTCCACACCTCTGTTTCCCTTTACAAACTGCTGCAATGTGACCGAATTTTTGGCATTTGAAACATCTCAATGGTGGAGGATTGTAGATTTTGACATTATAGCTTATGTAACCGATGAATACTTTGCTTGGTAATTGCTCTACTTCGAATTTAATTAGCACAGATTAACTGTCAGATCTTTCTCCGTTTCTTGTTGTTTTTAACCGTTTTACTTCTTTTACTTTTGCACCGCTTATGTTTTCCAGAATCTCTTTTTCAGAAATTTTTAGAGGAACTCCTCCAATGACTCCCCTGCTGATCTTTTTGTTCTCCATTAAGCTGCACTGAACTCTTATCCCGTCAATTTTGTTGATACGTATTGCTTTGCCTTGCTGGGCGCTGTCTCTGCAGTTAATTAGCAGGTCTCCACTGTACAGAATTCTGGCACCTTTGACTTCTCCGACAAGTTTATTGATGGTTTTTGTTAAGTGAACCGGATTCCAGTTTGTAAAAGAGTCTGCCTGATTAACGACTTTGAATATGACTTTGAATTCATTTTGTTGTGCTGTGGAATGTATGGAATGATCATCACTGGATTGTTCTGAACTAGATTCCCCTTGAACTGATCTCTGTTTTTTCCGCTTTTTCTCATTTTTTGATGTTGCTATCTTCCAACCTTCATTGTCACTATTTCCCTCTTCCATCCCACAAGAATCGCTTCCTGTTTCCTCACTACTCACGGCCCAAGACATTTCTCCATAAGCAGCTTCAAAACACGCGCCATGCACCAAACGACCATCCACATGCAATCCTCGACACCTCTTCTTCTTCTTCCCCTCGTCGGTTTATTCACGGTGACGTACAACTTTTTTTCAACCGCCACTTCTTCTTCTTCTTCTTCCTCCGCTACTAACATCCGGTAGCTGCTTTCCTGCCACCTACTGGATGCAAAAAGTTTTACATGTCAGGATATAAAATACCTTTAGATCTATGAAGGACCAACTCTGCCATATTTAAAAATAAATACAGAAATAAATAAATGCTCCATAAATGTATAAGCATACAATTAATTGCCAACAAAAAAGTGAGACATAAATGTATATAACTCTTAATTAGCTTCTTTATTTATTTGCCTTTGTAATATTTACCTTATTTATTTTTCTGTCCTTTATAATCTTCAACTTTATTTTTTAATTACTTATATTTTTAAGTATTTATTTATGTGCATGTTATAATATTTTTGTCTGTTTTATTCTTCCTCTGTATTTTTTACCTTAGTTATTTCTTCGCCGCTGTTTATTTCTCTCTGCCTTTTTACATTTCTCTCTGCCCTTTTTACATTTCTCTATGCATTTCTGTCTCATTATGCAAATGAGGAGGGGGTGTGTCCTAGAGAGTCAACTTCTGCTCGTTGGTTGGCTTGGCGGTCCATCTTCTTAACTCACAGAGCTCAGAGTACTAAGTTAAATGTTCTCTTTTCTGTTGCTGTTGTTCAATAAAAGTACGTTTTAAGATCATTTAAGGCGAGAACCTTATACATTTAAGCATCACCATATGGCCCATTCACAGATTTAATGCGTAATTTAAAAGAAAATGTGACAAACTTGAGAGGACAACCGTGGCAACCAGCGGAGCTCCGAAGCTGACGGCAGCCAGGTCTAACCACAGCCCATCTGCAGCGGCCCTCTCTCGGCATAGCCGTGTGTGAAGCGTGTTGGTTAGCATTTTACTACATCGGTCGAATCTACAGGAGGAGAGTCTGATGTCGAGTCTGAAGTCATTAGAACTTGAGTAGGGACTTTGCCAAACTTTGCCAAATACAACAAAAAATCGCCATCATAGCCTGGCTATAGACCTGGCTGCCGTCAGCTTCGGAGCTCCGCTGGTTGCCCCGGTCCTCTCAAGTTCGTCACATTTTCTTTTAAATTACGCATTAAATCTGTGAATGGGCCATATGGTGATGCTTAAATGTATAAGGTTCTCGCCTCAAATGATCTTAAAACATACTTTAATTGAACAACAGCAACAGAAAAGAGAACATTTAACTTAGTACTCTGAGCTCTGTGAGTTAAGAAGATGGGCCGCCAAGCCAACCAATGAGCAGAAGTTGACTCTCTAGGACACACCCCCTCCTCATTTGCATAATGAGGTAGAAATGCATAGAGAAATGTAAAAAGGGCATAGAGAAATGTAAAAAGGGCATAGAGAAATGTAAAAAGGGCAGACAGAAATGTAAAAAGGGCAGAGAGAAATGTAAAAAGGGCATAGAGAAATGTAAAAAGGGCAGAGAGAAATGTAAAAAGGGCAGACAGAAATGTAAAAAGGGCATAGAGAAATGTAAAAAGGGCAGACAGAAATGTAAAAAGGGCAGAGAGAAATGTAAAAAGGGCATAGAGAAATGTAAAAAGGGCATAGAGAAATGTAAAAAGGGCATAGAGAAATGTAAAAAAGGCAGACAGAAATGTAAAAAGGGCAGAGAGAAATGTAAAAAGGGCAGAGAGAAATGTAAAAAGGGCATAGAGAAATGTAAAAAAGGCAGAGAGAAATAAACAGCGGCGAAGAAATAACTAAGGTAAAAAAATACAAAGGAAGAATAAAACAGACAAAAATATTATAACATGCACATAAATAAATACTTAAAAATATAAGTAATTAAAAAATAAAGTTGAAGATTATAAAGGAAAGAAAAATAAATAAGGTAAATATTACAAAGGCAAATAAATAAAGAAGCTAATTAAGAGTTATATACATTTATGTCTCACTTTTTTGTTGGCAATTAATTGTATGCTTATACATTTATTGAGCATTTATTTATTTCTGTATTTATTTTTAAATATGGCAGAGTTGGTCCTTCATATAGATCCACCAAGCTTTTAAAATAAGCTCTTAGTCTTTCCTGTTTGTATTTTATAATTAGACAAAGATGAAAACTAAACGGAAACGATGATTGTTAGGATAATTATCATTGATGACATGTGAATTTATTACACCTTTATATTAGCTGCCTGTTGCCTGTCAGAACTGATGTTTTCCACAATAGTTTATCTAATTAAGACAGTTCCCCCTGTCCAGATATGTAGAGTTATAATCTTCATTCTGTACGTGGTAAAGATTTGGGAATGGAATGAGAGCGGCGTCCTTCAGCTAAGAACAAGATTTTTAACTCGCAACCTCCAAACACTTGGATTGGCCTGCTGCAGGTAGACACAGACTCTCTGATGTCCTAATCAATGATTGGGATCCAGTCCTGTTATCAACGATGTCAGTCAAGTCAGTCAGGACCTATTATTTTTCAAACATTTACATAATTTACATTTGCCACCAGAAAGTTAGGACATAACAGAAGGGAAATTTGGATGTACAGAGGGCTATGAAAGCAATTATCTCAGTGGAGCAAATAAATCTTGTGTTTCTAAGAATGTGCACATGTAGTTTAAAAAGGATCCTAAAAGCATTTGTTCTGCGCTGAAGGACACCGCTCTCATTCCATTCCCTAATTAGATAAACTACTGTGGAAAACATCAGTTCTGACACGCAACAGGCAGCTAATATCAAGGTGTAATAAACTCACACATCAGTGATAATTTTCCTAACATGATAATACACAAAAAAGTAAGTAGATCTTTATTGTTATATGAATTAAAGGTGAAGATGATCAGACTCTAACCTTCCTGGTCTTCCTGCACCAGAGGAAAACATTCACTTTGTGTAAAAAACAAAAAGGTTATAATGAAACATAAACTTAGAAAAGATAATTTTTTTGCTTTATATAATTAACTTCTCCTTCAGATTTATTGTTTTAAACCTTTTTTTCTTTTTAAAAAAAGACAAAAGCCAATATATAAACTATAACTAAATCCATATAACACAGAGTAAAAAATGAATTTTGAAGCTTCTGGTTTTGGTTCCATCTGTTCTTTCTGTTTTTTTAGGCCCAAACATCAAAAACATCAAATAACTAAAAGATGTTTGACTGTGAGTAAATGTTCAGTCAGGTTTAATCCTCAGTGATCGACACAGTTGAGCTCATTCTTTTCCAAAACCTCAAGAAGTTCATTAAGTGATGAATAATCAGACGCCGCTGGTTTTGAAGGTTTATTAACAATCCAAAGGTAAGAGAACAGCAGGACATTTAAAGCCAAAACAGGAGGAACGAAGCTGCTCTGATTGGTTCCTTCAGCTTCAGGGCATCTAAGCTCTGCTGCCGTGGCATCAGACGCGGTGAGGGTTGGTCTCTCAGAGGCGCCGCCGCAGCAGAAACATAAAGAAAACCGCACTGAAGAGGATGCAGAGTGTGCACACAGTGGGAACAACGATCTCTGTCACCATCTCCATGTGGCCGATCAGTGGATCTGCAACGGACCAAACAGAACCTTCAGCTTCTCTTCAGCCAGGAATCAACGACTTCCTCACTTGAGCTCCATCAGAGCAGAAAAACATCCCCACCTGGATAAACGACTAACATGTCAGAAGAAGTTGGAATAAATAAACATAAACCTGATGACAGTCAGGACTTTGAGACTATGAAAAATCAGCCGAGGTCTAAAGGCTGAGAACTTCTGATCTTCCAGTTTAAGAGAGCATCTGGATCACAGAGAAGAGAACTGAATAAACTGAGGTCTGGACCCGGAGTTCTGGACAGGACCGAAATAGGAGAATAAAAGAGCCGATTTGGGATTTTAGCAGAGCTACGTTTCATTGATCTTCTGCTGAGTACAGAAATAAAAACAGAACTCTGAAGGTTACCTTCCTAAAGCTCTTCCCTGGATTAAGAAATCACTGTGACTTAAAATATATATAAACAAGAACATTGAAGGTCAGAGCGGAACAGAACCTTAAAGGTGTTTATTCCACAGGACATTACAGCAACTGATTAATTAAGCATTTTAGGGATTTTTTTATGATACACTAATAGAAAGAAGTAAATCGCTGATAACAAAAATAATCCTTACTTTTCACACGTATCACGAATAAATTCAGCCCCTTTACTCAGATGCTCCTAAATACAACTTCTTTTAATAAGCAATTAGCAGCTGTTCTGATTCTGACCTCATGGGTTCATTAGAGGAGAACTGAGATGGAGACCAATTAACCCAGCATATGGATCAGAGAGGAAGTTCTGGTTCAGTTTAAAGCAGGGTTGGTTATGGAACAATCTTGGAAGCTTTGAACATCTCCCAGAAGTCTGATCCATCCACAGGGATCACTCACCTACGGGCCAACCAAGCCTTAGAGGGAAAGGTTAGAGGAGGAGGAGAGCAACAGAGGACCGGGGTGACTGTAGAGGAGCTGCAGAGAGCAAAGGCTCAGGTTGGAGAAACTGTCAACTAACCTGGTCTTTAAGAGAGAGAGAGACAGACCTCCTGTGGGTCGAAGCAGGCCCTTCTAGATGCCTTCATTTAATCCATCAGGACCATTAAACAGAGTCCAAAACCTGCTCCTAAGCTTTTCCAGGATCGACTAGATAGCTGTTTTTGGAGCAGATTCCTGTGCCCTCCTGATCTATCTGAGATGTTCTTCAGGCCGTCGGAGGAACAAATGAGACAAAGCGTGTTCCTGCAACTCCTTCAGAGCTTCCTCATACTGACCTGCAGCCAGCAGCTGGTTACTGGAGGAGCAGGTCTCCACAGCTTTCCTCTTCCAGCTCTCCACCTGCGGAGACCCAACAGATCAGAGCCCAGCAGAGACTGGTTTTAAAGCTAAACCCTCCTGTTGGGGTTTACCTCTCTCTGGTTGGGAAAGCCGTTGGAGCTGACGAGGCGCTTATAGAACTGGACTGAAGCCTTTGGGTAACGTGGTTTGTTTTTGTTCCTGAAGTCCACAAAGTAGAGGCCGAACCGTTCTGAGAAGCCTTCATCCCACTCAAAGCTGTCCAGGAGAGACCAGGCGGTGTATCCCTTCACGTTCACACCGTCCTTTACGGCTGGGTCCAAACAGAGACAGAGGTTTAACCAATCAGCTTCCTAGTCCACAGCAGGACTCTCAGGGGGAAAAAAAACATTCACCTTTCAGCATTTCGTTGATGTATTCTCTGAAGTACTGCATCCTCCACTCATCACACAGGTTGGTACAGAGCATTTTCTCCGAGACACCGTTCTCCGTCACGTAGATCATCGGGTTTCCATACTGGCTCTGTTGGTGGGATCACACATTAGATTCAGGAGGTTAGTTCTGCTTGGACAGAACCTCGGAACCCGCTGAGCAGGACTCCCTTCAAACAAACAAATAGCCTTTCCTGGAATTCTATAGGTGGGTTTTTATCAACAGTTCTCAAGATAAGCGGAAGTTCTGTAAGATTTTTAACTAAAAATATTGCTTGGAAAAAACATCCAATTGGAACCTGAGAGGTGAATCATTAACAGCTCCATTAAGGATAGTTTGGGCTTTAAATCCTTTTTTCTCTCCATCAAACTCTTTTCATTGGGATTTTTCTTTAGAATGTGAAAAAGAAATCATCATTATGCCTCATCCAAAATACTCAGGTTATCCTGAGCCATCTCTATAGTTATGCTGCTGTAGGCTTAGACTGCTGGAGGACATAGGGACCTCTAATGTTCTGCTCTCTCTGCTTTTTCTCATAGTAGCTTCATCTGGTCTGTTCCTTTTTGGCTGTGACTCCATCCTGGAGAGAAATATCAGCTGTGCTGCTTCATCAACACCTTTGTTTATAGATGTTGGAGCTTAGCCTGTTTTTCAGTGTAGTCCTGTTTCTCTGACAGTAAATAACTGGATGTGCTCTCTTCATCCTCTGACATGGTAGCTGGCTCGAGGCTCGTCTGCCTGGCTGTGTGTTTCCTGGACGGGTCTGCCTGTGGAGCTGGTTGACAGTTGCCTTTTGTATCTCTGCTTCTTTTTCTATGTCTGACCTAGACTTAGACTTCGTCTGATTCCCCAGTTGGTCTCAGCAGATGGCCGCTCACACTGAGCCTGGCTCTGGTTCTGCCGGAGGTTTCTTCCTGTTCAAAGGGAGTTTTCCTCTCCACTGTCACTACAAGCATTCTTTGTGCGAGAGATTACTGAAGGGTCAATGAGTTGATGCAATCAGCTGGTTTTCCTTAGATAGAAAACTTTGAACCAATCTGACTGGATGATCTGGTTGAATTGTCTCTGTAAAGTGACCTGGGATAAAATGATGTGAATCAGTGCTATAGAAATAAACTGAATTGAATGGAATTTGCAGTGGTTTAACAAAGTCTTATTTATCATGGTAATGCATGAAGAAAGAAGGTCCAAAGAGGAAATGTTTGGGGTTTAAGGATAGCTAAATAAAATAATAGTGTCACGATTTGGTGGTGTTGGTTAGAGGACCCAAATGCAGAGATGAGTTGGTTGAGATGAATTAAGTGATTTAATAGGTAAACAGGCTCTGAGGCAGGAGTCAAAAATCCAACAAAAATATCTTAAGAACCAGAATCTAAGAGACATCAGGGAAAAAGCAAAAACTTAGAACCAGGAAGAGACAAGGAAGGACGACAGAGAACTGACCAGAGGTTTGATGAGATGTAAGACGAGGATCCAGCAAACAAGAACTGAAGAGGGAGGGCTTTTAAAGGGGACAGAGACAAAGAGAGAGCTAACGAGGAAATTGGCAACAGGTTCTGGCAGGACAGAGAAAACAGCAAGGGAGGACAGAGCAGAACACAGAGCTAGGGATAGAGGACACAAGAGGGCAGCAGAGGACAACAAATGGAAAACCTAGAGGACAGGAACTAACAAGAAAACAACAAAATAATAATTAGACACTAAAACAAGGAGCAAAGTAAGACTGAATACTCTAAATAAACATAACAAAACCAAGACTGTGACAAATAGACATACATTCAATGTTTAAGATGAAATAAAAGATCAGACTTTGGATAGTAGAATGTGGATCTAATGAGCACATATAGATTAAAACCTTCTGAAGATGTGAAGAGAGTTCTGATTTAATTGGTTTACCTTTATAAAGTTTAACGTGCGGCGGAACCCCCAGGGAACCGAGTAGAGCCACTCAGAACCAGGGTCAGGCCACTGTGGGTCCACCAGCTCTGCAAGGTCTCGATCTGCAAAATAACTGTCCCCAAAGCTCGACGGGTAGTTCTTCTGGGTGATGTAGCGGGTGGTGTAATGTCCAAGGCCCAGAAAGTCCACAGTTCCTCGGATGTAACTCTTCTCCTGAGGTGAGAAAACAGGCAGCCGCGACGCTCCCAGACCTTGTTGACCACTTTTTCTGCCTAAAATACCAGAGTTAAGGAATCATCAGCAGACTGAGATCATACTCGTAGAAGGTAAACAGTGTACAAACCGCTTCTGATCCTGACAGCGAGTTATTGCAGAAATCTTTAAACAGTTTCTCAATACTTTTTTCTTGCTGTCTAGAGGTGTACGAATTTTAGATTGGTGTTGTCTATTATTTCGTTTTAGTCCTTTATCCTCCTACATCAGGGGGCATCCTGATCAGAGAACCACCTTGTTAGGAATCCAGTCTGTGTGGGTTGTGTTGTTGTGTTTTTCCCCCTGCACCACCAGGTGGCGCCCTGTTCTCGTTGGTCCTCCCACACACCTGCAGCTGGTTGGCTCATTATTGAGGACTTCTTAAGCGGTGGACTGCCACTACTTCGTCGCGAGAGTGTTTTGGGTACTGTAGCCAAGCTGAGTTTTGCTGAGTCTGAGTTTTTTGTTTCTCCGAGCCTAACCTGATTTTTGTCTTTGCCTTTCAGCAGGAAGTTATCCTGAATTCTGGATGTTTGGCCTTCTCCCCCTGGAAGGATAGTTTGTGCTTCACACTGAACATGGGATTCATCACCACACATCCCGTTCAAGTTCTCCAGGAAATAAGTGGCAGTCCGCCCCATTGCTCCTCAGGAACCAACCAAACAAAGACCTGTCAGCCCTCCAACGAGCCACTCAATTTCTGGATAAACCCGCACTGACCGGATTCAGGGAAGAACCTTTCTCCGCAGTTGTGAGTCCCGTTATCTCTGAGTTTGCAAGTCGTCGTTCAAAGTTCCCACGGACCCTGAACTATCCTCAGTGAACTTCCCTTCTCACTTCCAGTTCCGGTTCACCAGCTCTCTGAGTTTCCCCGAATCCAACCCTTTGAACTCCTCAATAAACCTGTTAAACCTTTCTCGGGTTTCTCTGAGTGGTTTTCTGTATGTGGGTCAGATCTCTTAAGTACATCTTGACACACCTCAGCAGACTCTTGGGTACGGAGGAGCAGCAGCTCTACTCCAGGCTCCCGTACCGTCATCCCTCCAGTCTCTATGTAAGGAGATACAATTGCTTTAATGACCATGTGATTTATGAGAGCCCCTTAAACTTGAACATACCAATGTATTCCTTCATGACTTGTGGGTAGTCTCCATGGAAGAGCGGTGTGGCGAACCAGCCCAGGTAGAAGTGAATGTACCTTTCTGCAGCTTCAATGTCCCTTTGGTTGGACACGTCCACTGGTTCTCCCCAGTCAGCAGTCAGGGAGATCCCAATCAGACCTGGACCCAGTTGGAAAAGTTTGATATTGAGCGGAACTGCAAGAATGAAACGACTGAACAAGTTTTCTCCATCACCTTTTTGTTTGCTTCTCCACTTCATGTCATACGTGTGCCAGACCTTAGCGTGGGCCTGAAATGGAGACAAGAATCAACGGGAAGTCTTTTCCCAGGTATAACATTGAAAGACAAAATAGTAAAGATGTATTTTTCATAATCATCACATCTGTGAAATAGCTGTGTTTATCCGTCCCCTATGCGGCGTCTACAGGCTCTAAATCACTGATATCATGGAAAAATGTGTGCAGTAAAATACCAGACGTGTTTATATTAAGCGATTAAAGTTATTAGGTTGTCAAGTTATATCTCAATTTATAAGGGTCAAGTTCTTTCAAGTCTATCTTCACTGAGAGCCAATCAAGTCTAAAGTCTTGAAGCGGGAAGTTTACATTAAATCTCAAGTCATTTTTTTATGGTAATGACAGAGTCAGCAGCTGTTGTCTTCATGGCACTGAGTTGGATTTGGGGGATTTTCAATTTATAAAAAAATTGGAAATCATTTTCTGAATCTGCAATTAAAATATTTGCTGTCTAACCGAGTCCAGATTCCAAGTCTTTAGGTGACTTGGAGTCTACGGCCAGTGTGTTGTCTTTTACTGTGATTAATCCATTTGACTATAGTCTGACTAAAACTCTTGTAACTGTTTGTTTAAAACCTCAATAAGGGATCATTTTATTAGCAGAACTTTTCTCTAATTGCTCACATGTTGGATATAAACCAGGTCTCCATACAAGCGGCTGGGATGGGCTGTTTGTGGAGTTATCTGGAGGGAGCTCAAAGATGCCCTGGTACCCTACCTCTAACTCATCAGGATTCTTTCAGGATTACCATTACAATCAAAACTCTTTTTCTAAGATCTGTTATATTGTAAAAAAAAAAAAAATTCTGTTGAAAGCTTGAAAACATAATAAAATTTTCGTTTAGTTGCTTCCTATCTAAGGGAGGTTGTTTAGACAGCTTCTGTAGCCAGGTGTTGAGGTGTTCAGCTTTGGACTGAACCTCAGCCAGACTTACCTTGATGATGTTATGGGCTGCTTTGTAAGCCCCACTTCCCCTTAGCTTCATTCCTGGAGCATGCTCTCCCGTTTCGTATCCTTCTACAGAAATTGACTTAAACAAACAAGAGAACAAAACCCTCACCAAGCGCTTCACAGGTCAAACGTTCTATCTGTCAGTGAATGCATCATTACTAATCCCTCTGACTCACCCAGGGGTTGTTGAAGGTGATCCAGTGCTTCACGCGGTTTCCAAACCTTTCGAAACACAGATTGGCGAAGTCGTTAAAGTAACCGACCATGCTCCCGTTCTGCCAGCCGCCATATTTCTCCTGCAGCACCTGTGGGAATGTGGTGGAGAGCCACATCATTTATCCATCCAACAATCATCCATCCATCCATCCATCCATCCATCCATCCATCCATCATCATCCATCCTTCCTTCCATCCATTCATCCATCATCATCCATCCATCCATCCATCCATCCATCCATCCATCCATCCATCCATCCATCCATCCATCATCATCCATCCTTCCTTCCATCCATTCATCCATCATCATCCATCCATCCATCCATCCATCCATCCATCCATCCATCCATCCATCCATCATCATCCATAATCCATCCATCCACCCATCCATCCATCATCATCCATAATCCATCCATCCATCATCATCATCATGCATCACCCATCCATCCATCATCATCCATCATCAATTCAATCATCCATCCATCCATCTATCCATCCATCCATCCATCCATCCATCCATCCATCCATCCATCCATCCATCCATCCATCCATCCATCCATCCATCCATCCATCCATCATCGGATCTGCAGGAAGAACTGACCTGAGGTAAATCCCAGTGATACAGAGTGACCACAGGTGTGATCTTATTATCCAGCAGCATGTCGATCAGGTCGTTATAATATCTAATTCCTTTCTCATTAATGTGCTCACCTGCAGGATTTACCAAGAAAATCATGTCACCATCTTCATTCAGCAGTAGACGGCTTACTGTTTTATAAAACTTTTGTTTGATTAGCTAGTGAATATATACAGCCACACTTTTCATAGTCTTCTCTGGCTGGTCCCACTGATTGGGTGACAGGAAATAATCAACCAAAAGGCTCCAAAAAGCAACAGTCTTGTATATAAAACTAATTTAATCCAATTTTTTTCTTCAATCTTCAGACAAACTGATGACATGTGAGGGTGTCAGGATTTGTTTAAACCTCCTGTATCACTATCAGGGACAAAAGGAGCTAGAATGGCCTAGTCAAAGTCCAGACCTAAATTATATTATATTATAAAGGCGGAGAAATATTCCAAAGACCGCTAGCTCTAGCTGTAGCCATAGGTGCTTCTCCAGTTTACTCTTAAAGACTAAATGAAACTGTATGCCACGTTTTTTGGATTCACCCTCGGTACGGCGATGATGTCCAAAGACCTTCACTATGTTTCTTTAGGGAATTTACCCTCTTCTTCCACCTTGTGGAGTGCTGTGCTAAGTTATGATGGAGTACTTTACTCCTAAAGTACCATATTACTCCTGAATACATGTAGATGTATTAGTCACAGAGACATCAATTTTTTATGGTTTTATGAATTTACAAAGGGATTGACTAGATAAACATGTCTTTCACTAATCCAGGATTTTTTTTAGATTGACTGAGGCGATAAAAGTCGTCAAAGCTTGGAAACATCAAAGCTGCCCGATTTCTAATCCAACCTCCCTCACCTGTCACCAGTGATTCTGATGCTTAGACAGGTTTTCTTGGGCACTTTCAGCCTTTTTGTCTTTGTTGCTGCATGAGGTGTTTACGGAAACTTCTTCACTCATGGAAATCAACATTTTACAGTCAAGTGGCAAAACTGTGATGAGGCATAAATATTGTGTTTTTACTTCTTATTCCACTGGGTAGAATCCTCGGCCAGGAAACAGAGAATCGATAATGATTCAGCTTCATCTCCTTCATCAAGTTTATATCATCCTTCAATAAAAAAGCAGAAAATAGCATCATTTAATTTCCATGAGCTAATCCTAAAAAAATGCAATTATACGGTATTTACTTTCAAGCTATTTTCAAGTAATTCACAGTTACATGTGTTTTTATGTGATAAAACAAAGTTATCACCTCTATAACCTGTTTACAACCAGAGATTTAAGTTTAGCTTTTTTTAGTTAACACTTTCTACATCTTACCACAGAGCACAGTGTCATCTACAAATAATGTGATTTTTTTCACACTAGTGACTCCTGCCTGCCCTGTCTAACAGCAATGGAGACAAGAAGAAGGTTAGGACTTGTCCCTGATGTCCCCCAGCACTCACTTTAAACCCATTCGTCACTCCAAGCTCACACCTTGCTCACTGCAGCTTCCCACATATACATATCTAAAGTTCACTTGTGCAGGTGTAAGGCTGGTCCTGCAGGTACCAGCCTTACACCTGCAGGTACCAGCCTTAGTCCATAGGGACCAGCCTTAGTCCTGCAGGGACCAGCCTTAGTCCTTCAGGGACCAGCCTTAGTCTTCAGAGACCAGCCTTAGTCCTGCAGGGACCAGCCTTAGTCCATAGGGACCAGCCTTAGTCCTGCAGGGACCAGCCTTAGTCCTGCAGGGACCAGCCTTAGTCTTCAGGGACCAGCCTTAGTCCTGCAGGGACCAGCCTTAGTCCTGCAGGGACCAGCCTTAGTCTTCAGAGACCAGCCTTAGTCCTGCAGGGACTAGCCTTAGTCCTGCAGAGACCAGCCTTAGTCTTCAGAGACCAGCCTTAGTCCTGCAGGGACCAGCCTTAGTCCTGCAGGGACCAGCCTTAGTCTTCAGAGACCAGCCTTAGTCCTGCAAGGACAAGCCTTAGTCTTCAGAGATAAGCCTTAATCCTCGAGGACCAGCCTTAGTCCTGCAGGGACCAGCCTTAGTCCTGCAGGGACCAGCCTTAGTCCTGCAGAGACCAGCCTTAGTCCTGCAAGGACAAGCCTTAGTCTTCAGAGATCAGCCTTAATCCTCGAGGACCAGCCTTAGTCCTCAGTGACCAGCCTTAGTCCTGTAGGGACCAGCCTTAGCCCTGTAGGGACCAGCCTTAGTCCTGAACGGACCAGCCTTAGTCTTCAGAGACCAGCCTTAATCCTCGAGGACCAGCCATAGTCCTCAGTGACCAGCCAAGGACACGCCTTAGTCTTCAGGGACCAGCCTTAGTCTTCGGAGATCAGCCTTAATCCTTGAGGAGGACTAAGGCTGGTGCCCAAGGTCTGGCACGCTTCAGGGGTCTCTTTGCTGCCAGTTACTTCTCTTCCGTGATTAAAAGACTTTTGCAGATATGATTATATTTTTTTTCTCCAGAACCAAGAACAAACCTCTATCTGACAACTGCATCCAAACTATTAATAGGTCAAATTCTATGAATGTCCATAAAAAGTTGTTGTCTGAATTTTTACAAGAAGAAAATTCAGAAATACGGTTAATCACCAAAAAAGTTCAGTCATATTAACCTTGAACTTGCGGTAGCCTTCACATGATGAGTCTCCTGTCTCATTGGTGGAGATTTTCCCCTTTTTATGGGCAAAAACATCCCAGATGCTCATTCCTTTTCCATCGATGTTCCAAGCTCCTTCGGTCTGATAGGCAGAGCTGCCGACTCCCCAAGAGAATTCTGCAGAAAAACACACACCAAAAAAACAGATGCTGAATAGACTTCTTATCCTGCAGGACACTGAACTCACTGGATGTATAAAATATGACCCATAAAAGACTTTTTAAGCACCAAGAAAAATATATCTATATTGCAACACTGGAAATTATTTAAGTTTGTCCTCTAAGGAAGATGAAACAAATCCCAGAAGAGCACACAGCCTTGTATCTAACGGCTGACTCAACATTTCCTTTTATAGAACAGAAAGACATTCTGAGATGTATTGGAACAGAAATATAAAGAAAATAAACATAATTAGATAAATGCAGTAGTGAAACTTTGGGTCTACTGTTGGGGTGGGGTGTCTTATTTTCATTTTGACTCATATTTAGGTCAGATAAAGTAGACATTTTTCTAATGTCTTCCTTCATGACATTTGGGGCAATGCAGAAAACACCCTAAAGTGAAAAATAATGGTCTGTCAGCTTTTCAAGGCTCTTATGCTCTTAGCAAAGTAAAACCACTCTCACAACTGAATGTGTCAAAAGTGAATGGAGGACCACTGGAAGAGAAAAGTGAATAAGAAATAACCCTTTCAAAGGTTTGATTAGGAAAGGAATTTGGAACCACGATGGAACCAAACGACCCATTCATCGGTTACCATTTGCATGTTTCCAAGCGATACAAGGCATTGTCTATATAAGACTCAAACTCACTGCGGATCCAGACATTTGAATTGAGAAAGCTTCCTGGAGAGGTGGCGAAACGTCTTCAAATCTTGGAAACCAAGTCCAGTGGATATTTTTTGAATTTTTACGGAATGACTATGACCTGGATGACTGAGGATCTTCATCAGCAGAAAGGAATTTGGGAATTTTGGGGGTTATGCTGATTAGATCAGAGGTTTTGGAGTCATAACTCTCCTCAAAGACTGACATCCAGACAGGACTGAAGTCAAACAACATATTCTTAAAAGACCAAGTTTCTCAGAAGGAGTAGGAAGTTTTGGAATATCTCTCTCAGAAACCATGAAACCAAGGAATGTGGAAGAACTTTCGTATCTCTGCTTCTTTTTCTATGTCTGCTTCTGTCTCCTTGAACCCCAGTCGGCCTCAGCAGATGACCCCTCACACTGAGTCATGTTCTGGTGGAGGTTTCTTCCTGTTAAAAGGGAGTTTTTCCTCTCCACTGTCACTACAAGTACGCTTAGTGTGAGGGATTGCCTTCAAGTCAATGAAGTCAATGCAATCAAATGGTTTTCCTTAGATAGAAAACTTTTAATCAATCTGACTGGATGATCTGGTTAAATTGTAAAGGGCCTTGAAATGACATATTTTGAATTGGCACTTTATTAATAAACTGAATTAAATAGAATTTCAGCTTCAACTTAGATGCTTCAGCTTCATGAACCGTCATCCTTTTACCAACTAGATCCACACAGAGCAAGCATGTCTTTGGTTAAACTTTTTCCACAACCTTCAATTTGTGAAGACCAAGGCCTGTTGACCTCAGAGGTGGAGCCAGCGACTCTGAGCTCAGAGAGGATGGATCAGTTCTCCAAGGAGCTAAAGGAGAATCAAGCCTGGTGACAGCAGCTGTGATGGTGGGTGTGCAGGTCGTGGTATGGGCTTGTTTTTACTTAATGGAAAGCATCAATGGTGCAGAAAAATCCAGAAGACATAGCAGAGCAACAGCTGCTACTTTCAAGACATCTTCTCCAGGGACATCCATGAACCCTCCACCCAAACCACTGAGGAAGAGAAGGGGGCGGCTGCTGCCCTAACTCTTCCTCAGAGATCCCTCCTAATATAGGACATTTTTTACTGGGGCTTCATCAATTCCAACGTTTGCAAGGCAGGAAAATAAATGAAAGGAACAATCATTCCATCCATTGATGGGTGGAATGATTAAAAGGAAGAAGAAAATCTGTTGCTGTATATAAAAGCAGAGACGTGGTGATTTAAACCGATCTCAGTGATGTTCTACAGCAGAGGAGCATGTTTCTGTACTGCCAACAGGATAAGTTAACAGAGGTTACCAGTGGGGAAGGTGCCGTAGTAGAAAGAGGTTTTCTCGTTCTTTGTCCAGTCAAAGTCTCCTCCTGCTGAAACACACAGCACCAGTGCAAGCAAAGGGGCCCACTTCAGGATTCCTCTGTGCAGCATCGTCATTCACACCTGCAAGACAGACAATCAGCCTGATTTAGCATCTCTGCATCAGATGCTCCGGGAGCCTGATAAGAACAGAGACCCAGTCTCTGTTCTCTGATCTAAAGGAGGAGCAGTTTCATCTGAACAGCTCCAACACAGAACCCCATATGAGACAGAAGGTAGGAAAACTTGTTTAGTATGGCGAGGATAAGAGGCATTTAATCCACTCAGACCCAAATTCTGACCTGCTGCGTTTTTTCTCTGCAGCTTCCAGGATGCAGGGAAAAAACCCTGAAGCTTCTGGGCCGCTTCACCGCCTCCTTCCCTGCAAGCGGGCAACAAAAACCAGAGTGAAGCATCCAGGAGGTTTTCTGCTATGATCAGCGCACACTGTGGGCCGACCCCTCCCCACTAACTCGCTGAATGCCCCCCCTCATTTGGAGCCACCAGACTGTGGCTGCAAATCTGCTGGACAAACAGATCTGAGGGAGAATGGAGGCGTTTTTACTCTGTAAGCAAACTGAATGTTACTGCAGCTCATCCTACGTGGCTTCCTGCTCCACGGCCATGAGGAAAAGAAACCACACCCTCCTCCAGCTCCCAACAGAAATGATCTGATCATTAACAACACATTCCAAACACTCATTATTTTCTACTATTTAAGAAAAGTAAAACCAAAGTCTAAAACTAAGTACGTCATTGCTGCTTCCATGTTATTAAAGAGAGAAAATAGCAACAAGATGCTGCTGATCGCATGCAATAATTAATCAGAGCTCCTCTTTAAAAGCAGAAGTTTAATCATATTGCAGCCCTGAAGCAAAAGGTGTGTGTCAATGCAGTGTCATATCAGCAATAGCCATAAAGAAGCAACCGCTGCTGTCATCAACCTGGGAGGAGTTTAAAGTTTCAGCTATATCGGAGAGGAAGATTATTCCCAAGAGGAGAAGATCTTAGACTGCTGCCAGTCATTCCAGTCTCCTTTCTACCACAGGTTTTGCGTCCACTAAACTTTCTTGGACATAAGCTCTCTATGAAGTTTCTCTAGAAATGACCTTTTGTGGCTTTCTCTCCCTGCCATAAGCCATAAGTCTTTCCCATAATTAAGAAGGATTTTCAAAATCTATTTCAGTTCATGAGTTGAATTCCTGAAACATCTCTTAACCTGTCACAGACAGGGTACTGCTGTCAAAGACATAAAGCAGCTGGAGTGCAACGCTGCAGAGGTTTGGCTCAGAGGAAGCTCCTCCCCCCTCCATGTTTGTCGTTAATGACTGAATCTGATCAGGTCTCATTCAGCTGCAGTATAACAACGGTTTGAGCAGGGATCCATACAGCCAGCCTCGGGAGTTCTCCGGCCTTCCTGTGAATACAGGAGCGGGCCCCGCAGCGCCATCACAACTGTTTTCAGCGCATTGTTGTAGAGAAAATGCTGAAATGTTCAAACCCAAACTGTTGGCGCTGCAGTCTGTGAGCTCGTTGGGCTTCTGCATTCTCTCCGTTTGTATGTTTCATTCACAGATGTGCAACATGAGGTTGTGTTTAGCATATCAATGGCCCCGATGGCCCCAGGAGCTACAGCAGAAACCATCTGAGCCTTCTGGTAGTTCTCTGTCGTACCAGCTTGACATATTTAAGGCGCTTTCTGGCTGCCTCACAGAGCTGACATGAACATCTTTACTAAGGTCCCAGGATTAGCCCAACAAACCAGGTACGTTCAGCAGCCGGGGCCACAGTGTCAGGCCCCGGCCAAACACCCAGTTTCCCCAAAGTCACCCAGAGAGTGATGATGGCTGCAGGACGAATGCAGCCTCTGGGTTTTAAAGGCTAAATGAGAGAGACACAGAAAGCTTGTTAGAGTTCAGTTTTTTTTCCTAAACATAAATTCATCCGACTGAGCAGAGAGTTTAATATTTAATCTGATTTTATGAATAAAAGTATTTCTGGGTTTGTTTGTTGAAATCGCTTCTGTATCTGCAGCAAACTGGGGTCTGTGCTCCAACGTGCCTTCTATGGGTCCTCTGGGAGGGTGAGTCCATCCTCCGTCCTCACTCAGTCTGCTGCTTTCTCTGTTGCTCAAAGTGATTGTTTTTCTTCAACAGAACACATTTATTATCAGATAAGTTCTCAGGATATTGTTAGATGGTCCGAACCAGAATAAGCTGGCTTCTTCTAGAAGAACAGACATTTAGGGAGAGCATCAGATTTATTGGATGTTTTCAAATGTTAGGAACAACGTGTGCAGAATGGATGAATTCTGTTTGTCAGTAGGTTACTAAAGCTCAACCGGGGTTTGGTTCTGACCCATTTGGACCCAGCAGTTGGTCTGCTAAATGTGGAGTTTCTTTTCCAAAAAGTCTTAAGCCTTTCTAAAACAGAGGCATAACCCGAATCAATTAAACCTCAGAGGGCGCTCATGTACTCACACAGCAGTTGGAGGCTCCTGCTGGTTCTGATAGGATGGTTTGTTCTCATTTCTTTACGTTTTCAGTCAGTCTGAAATTTTTAAGACTCTCTTTTAAAAGAGATATAAAGTTCTCCAATGTTGATGGAAGGTCACAAAAACTGGAACATGACTGGATTATGATACATATTTATACAGAGAGTTTAATAAAAATGATCCACCAGCAGACTGAAGGCCTTTGTTTGAGGATTGATGTCTGGCCTGATCCTGGATCTTCTCTGCTCCCAGGTGACCCTTTATGAGCAGAGAAACTTCACCGGCAGACGTCTGGACCTGAACTACGACTGTCCCAGGATCACTGACAAGAACTTCCCAGAAAGATGTAACTCTGTTCAGGTGGACAACGGAGCGTAAGTTCACCTCTAAAGTCTGTCCAGCAATAGAACCGGGTCTCTGTCTCCGGGTGGAAACGGAAATGTTAGAGGAAAAATCTGGTTCTAGAGAAGAACATGAAGGAAACCTCAGATCGTCTCCTAAAAATATGACTTTATATGAAACTTTACCAAAGGTCTAAGCTTGGATCAGGAAGTATTGAATTCTTCTCATTTAACAGAACCAAGATTAGAGTTGTAACTTGTACACAGTGAAGCAGAAGAAGAGTAAAACCAGGGCACATGTTTCCAATGTTTATATTTTTGTTCTCTCTCTGTCCTGTTCTGGTCCATCCCTGTATTTCCTGCCAGATGGGTTGGTTTCGAGCATGAGAACTACCGAGGCCGTCAGTACCTGTGGGATATGTCAGACAGGGGGGAGTACAACTGCTGCGACAGGTGGTGCGCTCAGGTGGACCACGTCTCCTCCGTCCGCTCCGTCAAACAGGTGAGATGAGGAACATCTTGGAGGAGGCAGTGTGGCAGATCTTACAGAACCTCCTTCATCAGTTCACAGGACCACCCTCATCAGATTACAGAACCCACACATCAGATTACAAGCTCCATCAGATTACACAACCTTCTCTTTAGATTACAGACCCTCCCTCATTAGATTACACACCTTCTTATCAGATTACAGAACCTCCTCATCAGATTCCAGAACCTGCCTCATCAGTTTACAGAACATCCTCATCATATTAGAGCCGCCCTCATTAGATCACAGAAGCTCCTCATCAATTAACAGATACCTCCTCAGCAGTTTACAGAACCTGCCGGATCAGATTACAGAACCTCCTAATCAGATTACAGACACTTCCTCATTAGATTATAGAAACTCCCTCATCAGATTACAGAACCTCCCTCATCAGATTATAGAAACTCCCTCATCAGATTACAGAACCTCCTCATCAGATTACAGACCCTCCCTCATCAATTTACAGTACCTCCTCATTAGTTTACAGAACCTTCCTCATTAGATTACAGAACCTCCTCATCAGATTACAGACCCTCCCTCATCAATTTACAGTACCTCCTCATTAGTTTAGAGAACCTTCCTCATTAGATTACAGAACTTCCCAGACCAGATTACAGAACCTCCTCATAAGATTACAGAACCTCCCTCTTCAATTTACAGTACCTCCTCGTCAGTTTAAAAAACCTTCCTCAATAGATTAGAGAACCTCCACAGCAGTTTACAGAACCTACTCATCAGTTACAGAACCTCCCTCATCAGATTATAGAACCTCCTCATCAGTTACAGAACCTTCTCATCAGATTACAGATCCCCCTCTGCAGTTTACAGAACCTCCCTCATTAGATTAAATAACCTCTCTCAGCAGTCTGTAGAACCTCGACCATCTCCTTCCAGTTTTTCCCGTTGGTCGGGGTCTTCTGGTCTCCCCTGGTCCCATCTTTGTATCTGCTCTTTGAGGTTCCCAGCCTTTTGAAGTTCTCACCACCACATTTCAGTGACTTGGACTTTGACTAGGCCACTGCAAACATTCAGCCAATGATGTTTGGGCGACAGGTCAATGTCAGACTAAGAAACGGTTCGTTCTGATCCTCCTCATCTCTGAATCTTTTGCTCATGGAGTCTTCTGTAGCTGCGGACTCTAGGTCTGCTGTGAGATCCGTCTCTGCCCAGGTGATCTGTAACGACTTGAAGTTGTGAGGTGGAGCCTCCCTGCACTGGACTTGTTTGTTGAGAGAACAGAACTGTGTTTAGATCTCCAGAATCAGCCCCAAATCTGTGACTGGTTCCTCTGAAGTGAAGTCCTCCCAGTCTCAATTACTCCAGCTTGAAGAACAACTCTAAATGCAGAAAACCAGATAATCATTGATTTTCTATGAGCGGATTCGTTATTGTTCACATACTTTCAGGCTGTCGATCAGGAGACCTGTTGCACCAATTCCTAGGGTTCCAGTTTTAATGAATCAAAGAGCTCTAACGCCTCAGTTTCCTTTAGTTTTAAATTCCTCCAGAGAAATCACACCAATCTTTGTTGTTACATATTTGAAATAAACGACTCGTTATTCCAGTAGCAGCTGACTGATCTGATGTGTCTCTGATTCCCAGGATAATAACCCTCCCAGAGCTCAGCTGTTTGAGCGAGCCGGTTTCTCTGGAAAGAAGATGGAGATCCAAGATGACATTCCCAACCTGCTGAGCCGCTATAACCTCAACAGAGTGCCATCCATCCGCGTTCTTGGAGGAGCGTAAGTTGATTTTCTGGTTGAGTTTCGTTTCAGCCTCTGTTCCTTTTCCACACCGATTGTTTTGTTTTAGTGTTGCCAGAGTTTATTAATGATATGCCACAAAATCCCAGAGGGGGCCCTTTCCACTCTGTCCGGGGTCCTAGGCCTTCTCCAATGGCCTCTTCCCTTCAGTTTGTCCCACAGTTTTCCTGCAGGCTTTAGGTTTGAGGGACTGCAATGACCAAAAAGGGTGTTTTTTAGTGTCATAGGCTCATTTAACTACATGATTCCTGCTAAAAGACCTAATGACATTTTCAGTTTCCTTTCATTTTAAATGTCCTGGCTTTTCAAAAAGGTCATAAGGTTAATCTTTACAACAATACACACCTACATGCCTCCCCTACCGTACTTAGAGCTTGAAATAATGAGACAAATAATGTTTGTCTTATTGGACCTGCAGCTCCACTCAGAGTCCTAGGATAGGTCAGCTGAAACGTCTCACTAGAATAAAGTTTTAGGTCATAATGAGGGAAAGAATTAGTCATTAGACCAGGGGTCACCAACTTTTTTAAGGCTGAGGGCTACTTTATGGGTACTGAGTCATAGGACGGGCTACCAATACTGACCTATGAACTAGAGGAGTTGGCGTTCACCTGAACTTCATAGATGATAAACATATTTCTATTGTTTCTTTTCATTTTTTATTTGCTTTTAGATATTCTCATTATGAAATCCATATAAATCCTCAAATTTTCTAATTTATGGATATGATAAAATGCTTCATAAATGCTTCAAAATAAGAGCTTCAGTAAAAAATACAATTTCAGATTTAGTCCACTGGTGAATTGTTCTGTTTTCAAAAGATGCTGAGGGCACCCCATGCTGTCCTTGAGGGCCCCTGGGTGCCCACGGGCACCACGTTGGTGACCCCTGCATTAGACTAACCAAATAAACCAAATTTGACAAATTAATATATTTATATTATTATATATATTAATAAGATTAATTTATGTAAATCAATCACTAAATAAAAAAACAAAACAAAACATAAATCGAAGACAGAATTATGCTTTCAAGCCTTTATTTCTATTTACTGTGAGGATTTCCTGTTTTAAGCAATGAATATATAACATTTATTGTTAAAAATATATCAGACCAATAAAATAAAACATTTTGATAGCACATAAAATGGGTTTAAAGAAAGGCATGTGGAAGACCTGCTGAAAAGGCTCTTAATTATGAAAGGACAGTATATACCTACATGTATGTGTTCAGTCTGCTCAAAGTAAAGCTGAATGAATAATATTTCCCAATGTTTTGTTACAGCTGGGTGGTGTATCAGGAGCCCAACTACAGGGGACCCCATTACGTCCTGGAGAAACGTGACTATAACAACTTCTCCGACTGGGGCAGCCAGAACAGCACTGTGGGCTCCATGCGACGAGTCCGATTCAACTGAACAAGAACCTCGACAATGTGCACCCATGGAGCCTGTCAGCTTTACACCGAAAATAAAAACTATTTTAGTAATGAACTGATTTGATCTCATTGTTGTTCAGAGTTGAGGCCCGTTTAAATTCTCAGTTATTCCAGAAACAACAGAGGCTGAAATCATAGGCAGATGGTCTCTGTTCTGCTGGTCCAGCTGACAGAACATGTGTAACATATTCTGAAAAACTCAGCGAAGGCCATCTGCCTCCGATTTCAGACTGTTTTGTGGTCAGAGCTAATATTCTAGAGATTGATTGATTGATTGATATCACAGTGGAGAAATTTACTTGCTACATCAGCTCAAATAGCCAAAAAAAGAAGAATGTGCTAAAAGCAGAAAAATGTGCTTGGATATATATACAATATATATATTTTGTTTATAACAGGATCATTATAATGGATCATTGCACATGGTATTTAAATTGGTATTTACTGTATATAGATGGATATTTATATTTAAATATAAAGTTATTGTACTGGGTGTCAAATATAGAGAAATAGTAATTGCACATTATACATTGCTTTAATGCCACAGACAGGGGTGTGCTGATTAAACCGCATGGTGAAGACATAAGTACTGGTTATACTGCCGCAGCACTGTGTTGCCGTGAGCTTAATGCAAGTATTTTTGAGTTATGCTCAATATTGAGGCGTGGTTTGCATTGTTATTCCAAAAGAGGGACAATCACGAACTAGCTGTGGCTCTAGATATGGCCGAGGGGCAAGTTTGTGCGACACGGATGGACATGAGGTGAAAAAGAAGGGCGATCCAGGTGGAAAAAGGGTTTCAGCGTTCTTGAGGTTTTCTACAATGGCTGTCACTCAAACAAAACAAGCTGGGAAGGTACCAAACAAGAAATATGTATAATGTAGAGCGGAGGTAGATATGACCAATCAGAGGCCTCCTGTCTGCGGTCACCTACAATTTGGGAGAGGTGCAGCAGAGTGTCTGCAGAATGTGCAATAGCACATTTGCATTCACTGCGACACACACGCAGACCTGGTTTCTGAGAACAAATCACCCTATAGAGGAGATAACAGACTGTCTGACGGACTATCTGAACTTCTGCACTGACGTGGTCTCACCCGTCAAGACAGTCTTCTACTCCCCGAATAACAAGCATTGGGTAAAGAGGGAAGTCAAAGCTGTCCTAAACAGGAACAAGGCTGCCTTCAGGAGCAGAGACAAGGAGGCCATGAGGGCAGCACAGCAGAAGGTAAAACACTGTGTGAGGGAAGCCAAGGACATCAGAGAACAATATGAGAGCCATGCTGGGAAGGTATGAGAACCATCACAGGACACAACACAAAGACCAGGGCCGATGAAGAAAAGATGGAGAGGGCAAATGAACTGAACAAGTTCTTCAGCAGGTTTGACAAGCCTGTGACCTCTCCACTGCTGCTGCAGCCATCTCCCATACCCCCCCCACACACACACACACACCCCGCCTAAGCTATCACAGCACTGCCATCCTACTCTGTCCCAGACCTCAATACCTTCCCTGCCTCACATCACCACAGACCAGGTCAGAGAACAGCTGAGGAGACTTCGACCCAGGCAAGCAGCAGAACCAGACAAGCTGTGTCCACGGGTACTAAAAAAAACCTGTGCTACTGAACTGGGGGAACCATTACAACGGGTCTTTGACCTTAACCTACAGCTAGAAAGAGTGCCTACCCTATGGAAGACATCCTGCATCACACCTGTTCCTAAAAAGACCCGGCCCAGTGAACTGAATGATTTTCAGCCTGTTGCACGTACCTCTCATCTGATGAAAACAATGGAGCGGATCTTCCTCAATCTCCTCAGACCTCAAGTACAACATGCCCAGGACCACCTGCAGTTTGCATATCGGCCAGGTGTAGGAGCGGAGGACGCCATCCTCTACCTACTACACCGAGTCCACTCCAACCCGGATAAGGGAAATGCCACAGCATGATTCTCTTCCTGGACATCTCAAGTGCATTCAACACCATCCATCCCTCCCTGCTCAAAGACAAACTGAATAGCATTAGAGTCTTCCCCTGCCTGGTGTCATGGATCTCCAGCTACCTGACAGACAGGCCATGGTATGTCAGGCTGAAAGACACCATGTTTGAAACTGTGGTCAGCGGTACTGGAGCCCCTCAGGGCACAGTGCTGGCCCCTGTCCTCTTCATCTTATACACCACGGGCTTCTGTTACAACTCTGAGCTGTGTCACACGCAGACGTGCGCAGATGACACATCCATTGTGGGGTGTATCACGGACAACAGAGAGGAGGAGTACAGGAATCTGGTGGGGGACTTTGCCACCTGGTGCCACACCAACCACCTGGAGCTCAACATCTCCAAGACAAAGTAGCTGGTCATAGACTTTGGGAGGAATGGACCAAAGACTAAGCCGGTACAACTGGAGGGGCCTGAGGTGGAGGCTGTGGATTCATACAAATACCTTGGGGTCTGGTTGGACAATAAAATGGACTGGTCAACAAACACCATCACCCTGCACAGGAAGACACAGGGCAGGCATGTACTTTCTGAGGCGAATGAGGTCATTTAACATCTGTAATAAGCTGCGGGAGACCTTCTAATCTGTGGTTGCCAGTGTCCTCTTCTACACCGTGATGTGCTGGGGGAGCAGCACATCCATGAAGGACACCTCCTGACTGGACAAACTGGTCAGGCGAGCCGCCTCTGTGACTGGCAAGAAGCTGGACTCTCTGGGGATGGTAGTAGAGACAAGGACACTGCTGGACATTATGAACAATGCCGGACGCCCTCTACACAGTGTCTTCACCACTCAGAGGAGCCTAATCAGTGGGATACTTTAACTCCTCAAATGCAGGACCAGGACTGCTGAACTCCTTTGTTCCCCAAGCCATCAAGCCTCACTTGGAGGAAGGAGGAGGTGATAGGAATATGGACAAGGGACAGCACCCCCTTCCTTGGACATCTTATGCAAAACATTACCTATTGTCACTAATGAGCAAAATTCTTGTCCCTCACTGTGCAATAACACATACCAACTACTGTGTAATTTTTTTCAAACTTATTTATGAAGTCAGTACATCTCTGCAGTACAAGTGCAATAATCCAAGTCAACTACGACTATATACTGGTAGTCCTCTCTTAGCTCTCTACTGTGCAGCTATTTTTATGTCTAAAGGAAACATATTCCGGGACATTAAAACTTTTCTTTCCCCTTTATGCTTTTTGGTACAATAAACACAATTCTTTAATGGCATTTTGCTTTAACTCACTGTACCCTATATAAGCTGCTGGAATCAGAATTTCCCTGAAGGAATAATCCCAAGGGATAAATAAAGTTGAGTCTTAGTGTGTTCTCTACATCCAGTCTGTTCCTCTGCTGGGTTTGGATGTGTGTCAAACTCAAAGATAGAAGAAGAACTGATTTTTTGGTTGAAAAAAACTTGTTTGATTCTTAGTTTTGTCCTCACAAAGCAGGAAGGACCCCAGCCCTATTTTTATTTTATTAACTGTGAAATAAAATGTTTTCATGTACCCGTTGCAATGCACTCACAGACCACTAGGTTAGGAATCACTAATCTTGACTATTATTTTTGTTCATTAATTGGAATTTTGCTCTTCATTGGGATCCAGATGGTCCCGTCTTCATAGTAAAATTAAATATCGGATTATTCCCACAGAGATACAGGGAGGAGGACGATGGATCTCTTTGGTACCGTTTCTTGACGTGGAACAAAATGGATCAGATTTAACCAAAGAAGTAATTGGAAATAAAGACACTTTCTGTGACTCTTTATTCGAGCATCCTGCAGCCTCAGCATCAAAGAACCACAGCTTTCTGACTGATGGTAGAAAAATACAAACTGTAATGAATGGATGGATTAAAATACTCCCAGATTATTTTCTACAACCTTTCGGATTGTACATTACTCCCTGAAAACATCCTATTCCTTCATTAAGCAGCTCCTCAGAGTTCAGGCCGCTTGTGTTCAGTCATGTCCTGGAATTTATTAGCGGAATTGGACCCACATCACAACAAATAGGAACTAAGTTAGTTTGACAAAGACGTTGCTGGGATTAGGAATGGGTGAAGATTGATGAGGAACATGAGGAGGAAGTTCAACATCCAGCTGCATGTGACGCTGTTTGATCCTGGGAGAAGCTCATCCAGTCACTCCCTGATTCCAGCGTTTCTCCCCATTAACAGAGAAAATCTAACTTGATCAAAGGTTTCCCAGTTAATCCAAAATTAGAAAAACTAGAAGGAACATCACCCAGTTCCTTTCTGCTCATGGGGAAACTTAGAAAATGTTTCTCTTTCAATGCAAAAAATAAAGTAGAGATTTGGGAGCTGATTTAAACGTGTTTATGAACATAAAAGCAGAGGGTGACGTCGCATGGATGGTCTGCAGGGCTCAGTTTCCGTTCTGGTTCATTTGAAGATATTCGTTGTGAAGCTTCTCCTGAGCCTCGTAGAGCTTCCTCAGCTTCTTCGCCTGGCCTTTGCTGAGCTCCTTTCCCTCCGCGTCATGAGTGGGAAAACCCTGAGGACAGGAAAGCAGGAGTCACACCAGGAAGTGATCCAGGATCTGATCGGTTTATTACAGCATCATAAAGGGAAACTCTAACTGGTTAAGCACCAGCCTGATTGGACGGATGAAGGGAAAACAGATGACAGCAGGACTTAGTTTAATAAGCTGCATCAGGATGAAGGAATTCTGGGACAATTTGGAAAGATAAGAGGAGAGTAGTGATGTTCTCGCACATTGGGAGAGGGAGGATGATATGGGTCTCTTGCAGTTGCTCAGTGAGTGGAACCCCAGTGTGAGAGAACCTGTCCAACAGCTTGAACCAAAGCGGCTCAGCGATGCCAATCCTCCACTTACCGTGTCGTCAAATGAGGAATATTTGTCTGTTTCGGAGCGAAACATCTCGCATGGAGGGACCTTCATCTTGGCCAGTTTCGCCATCTGAGGCATTGAAAGAAAAGCAGCAATTGTTAGATCAGGGTTCCTACAGCATAAGGCAAGTTAAATTCAAGACTTTTTAAGACTTTTTAATGCCACTAGAAATAAAAATTTAAGACAAGATTCACAAGAAACACAAGAAAAAAAACCTGCTTGTGACAACTTAACCCAAAGGTTTATTTTAACATAAACCACTGCACTAATGTTTCAAATTTTGAAAAGCTTCCCATACAGGAAGAAAGTTAAAAACACACAAATGACAGATATATTTGAACAATTATTTAACTGAATTCACAAACTTTGTTTTAGCAGGGAACAAAACAAATCAGTTTTAAAGCCCCAACATAACCAGTGCTAAGTCTTTTTTGCAGATATTTTTCTTTGTATGGTTTTCTTAGTATGTTTGATTTGGTGATAAGTGGAGGCGTTGCAGAGACAAGGGCGGAACTAAACTGAGAAATACCGGCTGTTTCTCTGTAACTCGATTTTGACGCTTTGTGTTTCGCGCTTCGCATGTGCGACTCCACTGCCTTAATTCCCATCGTTCTGAGCTTGATTGACTTCTTGCACAAAATCCACTGAGCCTCATGTATGTTTCCTGGTTTTAGCCATGGAGAAAACTCTTGGCTGGAGACAATTTTAGTTACATTTACAGTTGCTCATATTTTCCAGACTAAAAGTTAAAGGAATAGTACACCCAAAACATGATTAGCCTTCATTTTCTACTCACCCCCATGCTGAACAACACTCTGGAGTACTTTTTTGATATCTCAAATGCATCTGGAGATCTGGGAGGCTTCTTGCTGTCTGCTGACATTCAAATAATGGAGGTCTATGGCGCCCGAGGCAGAAAGGACCATAAAAGTCCACAAAAAACGTGTCAATATTCCTCCATACTGCTCGTCCAATGTATTCCAAGTGTCCTGAGTGGGTAGCGTCCATAATTTACTCGAAACTAAGTCATTTAGAATGTTTTTAGAGCATAAACAGTAGTGTATAGGATTTCCTGAAAGCGCGTTCACGAGTCTACGGAAACCGCGTCAGACCAAACCAGATGAAAGTGCGCATTCACCTCGGCAAAGAACTCATGCTCTTCCTCAACACTGAAGTCCTCAGACATTTTTCTTTCGTTGTTTCTTTCTTTGCACAGGTAAACAGCACATTTCTTCTTCTACGCTTGCATTATTGGTAGAGCTGAATGCGCACTTTCATCTGGTTTGGTCTGCCGGCTTCTGTAGCGCCGTGAACGTGCCGGCTCGCGCTTCCAGGAAATCCTATACACTACTGTTTATGCTCTAAAAACATTCTAAATGACTTCGTTTCGAGTAAATTCTGGATGCTACCCACTCAGGACACTTGGAATACATTGGACGAGCAGTATGGAGGAATATTGACACGTTTTTTGTGGACTTTTATGGACCTTTCTGCCTCGGGCGCCATAGACCTCCATTATTTGAATGTCAGCAGACAGCAAGAAGCCTCCCAGATCTCCAGATGCATTTGAGATATCAAAAAAGTACTCCAGAGTGTTGTTCAGCATGGGGGTGAGTAGAAAATGAAGGCTAATCATGTTTTGGGTGTACTATTCCTTTAATTCCCATTGTTCCGAGCTTGAATGACTTCTTGCACAAAATCCTCTGAGCCTCATGTATGTTCCCTGGTACTGGTTTTAAGCTCTTGGCTGGATAACCAATTTTCATTACATTTACACTTGCTCATATTTTCCAGACAAAAAGTTAATGGTGCATCTCCCAAATGTCCTGGCCGCAACAACGCTTTTATTGGTTCAGCTATCGGGACGGAACCAATAATGGCGAGCCGTTGATTTCAGACATTTTAATACCAATTAAGGCCTTAGTTTTATTTTGAAGAATTCAATGCCTTTTAAGACTTTTTAAGGACCCGCGGGAACCCTGTAGATTGATAGACAGTGGAAGGACAGAAGAAAAAAAAAAGCTGACCTCCTGCTCCTGTTTCCTCCTGGCAGCTTCTTCCTTCTTCCGTTTCTTCTCCTCTTCCATCTGTGAAGAAAATAAAAGGTCTCAGAGCTTCTGTAACTTAATCCGCTGGTTCCTTTCGTTTTATTTTTATGATTTCCCAGTTATAAAACCTGGATGGATCTGTGAAAATCTTCCTACCTTCTTCTTGTCCTCTTTCTCCTTCAATAAAGTCTCCTTATCCACCAGTTTCACCACGGTGGGCTGACCTGTAACACAGTCACTGTCAGAGTGAATTGGCTGCGGAAGAGGAGGTGACCTCTGACACCTGCTCTCTCATGTTCTCAATCCATCACCAGAGGTCAGAAATGTTCCTCCCCGTTAAAAAGCTGCATCACCTTCATGATCCTCCAGTCGGACTCCCAGCTCCGGCAGCGTGTCGTCCCGCACCACGTCGCACAGCTGCAGCAGCGCCGTTACTGGACAGTTGGAAAGAAGAGGACTGGTTCAGGATCCTGCAAAGCGTGTTTCTGCTCTAATGGACTTGGGATTCTCCCTCACCTTTCTGCTCTCTGGCGATTCGCCGGACGTTCTCTCTGAAGTCCGACAGCACGGCGAGGTACGGCATCACCGTGCTCTCCAGCTGTAGGGATGGGACAAAGAAAACGGATAACTGGGAGCTCTGGTTCAGGTGGATTTCCTGCCACCGAGGAGCTGTTTACTTACATCGACTGTTTGGCCTCCGACAGGAAAACCGATGAAATCCGAACCTTCGATCGCTCCAAAGATCTGAACGACAGAAAAAGCTCATTAAATCTTCCATCCATCAGGATGGTTTGAAACTATGAAACTAAGAAAAGAGCAGCGGTAAACTTTAAGGTAATACCAGATAAACATGAACAAATAACAATAGAAACTTTTTCTTTACTCCTTTTTTATTTGACTTTAGATTTTCCTCATGTCTTAAACAGAGACGGCCCCGGTGTGGACCCGTCCAGCTGAATCGTCTCTGCTCACCTTCAGCATGTTGGTGAGGTATGAGGCGATGCTCTCCAGCAGCAGGCGGTTGGGCCTCAGCTTGGAGCTCTTCCTGCCAGCGATGTAGCTGTTGCTGTGGCTGACCAGCAACCTCATCTCCTCCATGGCGCCGCGCGTGTCCACGTTGTCACACAGGGCCTGGTGGACGGCAGACTTCCTGTCATAGAAACTGAACCAGAACCAGACGGTCAGTCTGTAGCAGAGTTCCAGCAGATCTGGAGGTGGAGCTCATTAGGCACAGTTGTACTATAGAACCTCAGAGTTCTGCCTTTCGGAACGGCATTTTTGCAAACACAGAAGAAGAAAGAGCACCTTGGCACCTCCTTTTCAAATAAGTTTCTACTTTTGGAAGTAGCTGAAGTATTATTTTAACTTACGGTGTGTGAATGAGCTGCTCCCAAGTGTAAAAAAACCATAATTCTATGTTTGCGATGGTTACGCATCATACCAAATATTAAAGTTATAGTGGAGGATGTTTTTCTTCCAGGTGGATCATCAAAATAAGTGGTCCTCCTATTTGTCAATCATTCTGGTGATATGTTTATGTTAGGCCGTCCTACGTGCTTGTCCCCATTTTCACTTACCGATGGAAAGCAGGCTTGTATGAATTCTGACTTTAATCTCAGGATTCTGACTGAATTCTGACAGCTAACAAACATGTTAGCATCAAGCCATAGCCATGTCTGTTTTAGAGACTAGCTCTCTTGTTTTAATGACCTTCTGCTCCTCCATTAATGAGGGGACCCCTCGGGCACGTAAAAAGTTGCCTAATTCCGTCATTTTCCACCAGTGTGTCGCTGTTCCTCTCAAACAACTCACATCTTTGTCAGTGAAGCTGAGTGCTCCCACATCTCTTCCTTCATGGTGCCCATCTACATTAAGATCCATAATTCTGAGATTAAAGTCAAAATTCTGAGAAAAAAGTCAGAATTCTGAGATTAAAGTCAAAATTCTGAGAAAAAAGTCAGAATTCTGAGATTAAAGTCAAAATTCTGAGAGTAAAGTCAGAATTCGTAAGTTAAAGTAAGAATTCTGAGAAAAAAGTCAGAATTCTGAGATTAAAGTCAGAATTTTGACTTTTTTCCCATATTAAACTGAAATAAAATTTAAATATCAGTTAACTTTTTTTTTTTCCCAGTGGCCCTAATCCTCTTCCGTAAACACCAGAAGCGAAAAAACACAGGAGAAAGAAATGGATCCACAACAGTTAGCTGATCCGCGCTAACTTTCAGCCACTGTAGGCAGCACTATTCTAGAAGGAAACGATCGTCTTTTTACTCCTTTGCCGCCTCACCTGTTGTTCAGCTCGATCTCGGCAGCCTCCCACTTCTCGAAGCGGCTGGTGAGATCTGTGGGAGCTCTCAGGATATCTTTGACGTTCAAGAAGAACTCCTGGTGAGGACAAACAAAAACAGCTGTTTGGAAGCTGCTCCAGAAAGCCGGAAGGACCGACAGTAACTGGTGTAAACACCCTGGTGAAGATTCTCAGTCATCCAGGTCAGTTATTCAAAAAAAGAACATTAAAAACAATTCACTGGACTTTGTTTCCAAGTTTGAAGACGTTTTGCTTCCCATCCAAGAAGATTTTTCGATTCAAGAAGCTTTTTCACTTCACATATTGAATTGAAAGAGCTTCTCGGATGGGAAGCAAAACGTCTTCAAACCTGGAAACAAAGTCCAGCTGATTGATTTTAGTTCTCTTTTTTTGGAATAGTGCGAACACGTACATTCAGGAACTTCTCGTACTGGACGGCCGACTCCATGGTGTTAGAGGAATAATCCAGGGTGTCTTTCCAGGAATGCATGAGGAAGGCCAAGCGGAGCTGTCGCGCTGCAGGAGGAACATTTTACATCACCTGATGAACATCTACAGAACCATGAGAGCAGAACCAAGCAGCAGAATCTCACCTGTGTTCTTGGCCAAAGCGTCTTTAATGGTGATGAAATTTTTGAGTGATTTGGACATCTTGCAGCCGGCGATGGTCAGGTGACCAGTGTGTAGGAAGTAACGCACCCAGTGATCGTTCTCAAAGAACGCCTGAGGAGATAAAGCAGGTCAGATGAAGCCACCTTCCTCAAGGAAAACCTCAACGTGAGTCTTTGATGCCTTTTTAAGGATGTTTCTCTTCCAAACAGCCAGATTCTGTGTAATTCAGAAAATATATATTTTTTTTTTACTTTGGCTGCTTCCCCCTCAGTTTCAGTCCAGTTCTTGTGATCCGCCATAAATCTCTGGCTCTTTGGAAGGAGAACATAAAGAAGTGAGCAGTGATAAGGAAAGCAGACCTCAGACTGGGCCAGCTCGTTGTCATGATGGGGGAAGCGGAGATCAAATCCTCCTCCATGGATGTCCATAGACTCTCCTAGGATGGAGCCAGCCATGGCCGAACACTCGATGTGCCAACCCGGCCGGCCCTGTGCAGCATCCAAACAAAGGTAAGCTTTATCATCTTCAGAATGAAAAGGCTTGGATCAGCCGAACATCTCAGGTTGCATCAGGTAGAAGCTCGTATTCGGGCACAGTGTGATGACTCACCTTCCCCCACGGTGAGTCCCAGGACGGCTCCCCTGGCTTTGAGGCTTTCCACAAGGCAAAGTCGTTCTGGGACTTTTTCTCACTCAGTCTGTCTGCAGAGATGCTCAGATCGCCTGCAGAGACACAGGATGAAGACGAGGCTATAAACAGAGATCTGTTCATCTCTTCTTCAGGGTTCCTACAGCATGAGGCAAGTTAAATTCAAGACTTTTTAAGACTTTTTAATGCCACTTGGAAGAAAAATTTAAGACCAAATTCAAAAGAAAGACAAGAAAAATCCGCTTGCGACGACTGTTTCAAATTTTGAAAAGCTTCCCATACAGGAAGAAAGCTAAAAACACACAAATGACAGATATATTTTAACAATTATTTAACTGAATTCACAAACTTTGTTTTAGCATGGGAACAAAACAAATCAGTTTTAAAGCCACAACATCTTTTTTGCAGCCATTTTTCTTTGTATGGTTTTCTTAGTATGTTTGATTTGGTGATAAGTGGAGGCGTTGCAGAGACAAGGGTGGAACTAAACTGAGAAATACCGGCTGTTTCTTGGTAACTCCATTTTGACGCTTTGTGTTTTGTGCTTCGCATGTGCGACTCCACTGCCTTAATTCCCATCGTTCTGAGCTTGAATGACTTCTTGCACAAAATCCACTGAGCCTCATGTATGTTCCCTGGTTTTAGCCATGGAGAAAACTCTTGGCTGGAGACAATTTTGGTTACATTTACACTTGCTCATATTTTCCAGACAAAAAGTAAATGGTGCATCTCCCAAATGTCCCGGCCGCAACAACGCTTTTATTGGTTCTGCTATCGGGGAAAAAAAAGGTAAATTTTAACATTTTATTTAGATTACAAAAATAAATCATAATAAAAATAATCCTATTTATGATGTTTTAAAAATTAAGACCTACGAAAGACTGATTTAAGACATTTTAATACCAATTAAGGCCTTAGTTTTATTTTGAAGAAATCAATGCCTTTGAAGACTTTTTAACCCCTAGAACCCTACGGACCCACCGGTGGGTCCAGCTGCCACGTGACCTCGTAATTTTAACAAACCCCCAGTATTGATGTAAAAAACACATTTGGCACAGTTTGGTGACATTTTTGGATAAATGTACCAAAATGGCCCCTCCGCCTAAGAAATTTCTCACTAATACCATTCTAAAATAAATATGATTCATCTGATTGAGTCCAAATTTGATATAGTTTTATACAACATTTAGATTTAAAAGTCTGTACTACTTTTTTGTGCTATAAATAATATTTTGGTAGTGTTTTGCAATGTTTATTTCAAAGAAAATTTTGGCGAGGTTCAAAAAATGCAAAATATTTTGTATTTTGTCCCTAATATTTCAGGCAGGGTCAAAGCTACAATGGTGCTGACACCAGAAAACCATTCTATGACATCTTACCTTTACAGACGTACCAAAAGTTTCTTCTTAAATCTAATAGCTGTGAGGCTATAGGTGATTTACTTTTGTTTGTTTTTGTCAGGCAGAAATTTATTTATACCCCCTGAGGGTGTAAGAGGTTAAGGACCCGCGGAAACCCTGTTCTTTTTCAAAAGAAAAGGAAGAAACAGTGAAACAAACATTCTTCTGAGCAGAGAGGTTTCCTCTGCAAAGGTCAATATCACAGGCTTTCCATCACACGTTAATCTATCAGAAACCAAAATCCTTGAATGTTCTGAGACTCTGGCGGCTCCTAGTGGAAGCTTGGAGTAGGACATGAATGAACTAAACCCCTACCTTCTCCCTCCTGCAAAGCTTTCTGATCTCCCACAGCCTCTGGAACCAGTTTGGCGTACGAGTGCTGCGGACTGGAATCAAACTTCTGGGTGTCAAAGTAGACAGAACCGTTGGACTCATACCTGCAAACAATCAAATGATTAAAAGGAGACAGATGGAGGAGACTGATACAGACGGTTTATATCCTCACCCGTAACCGTTTGAGACGACCTTTTCCACAAACTCCACGATCTCCGGCACGTACTCGCTGACTCGGGTGAGAACATCCGCAGGTAGAACCTGAGGGGTATGGAAGCAGAAAGCGTGACCAGTCTGAGCTCCTGAAGGCATCTTGGTGACGGCTTCCAAAGCGGCTTACGTTCAGGGCCTCCATGTCCTTGTGGAACTCTCCTTCCCAGTATTTAGGAAGGACAGAGAAGATGGAGTTCTCGGTGACTTGGCTTCCAAACTGTTTGTCCAACCATTCTGACAGAAGATCCTTGGATTTCTCCAACAACACCTTGGAGTATAAAGCAGGAGAAGTTAGAAACAAGATGAATAAAAAGCTAATTAATCTAAAACAGCCGGAAGCAGGAAACCATCTGCGAAGGTCTGAATTCAGCAGCATCTCTGCTCAGTCTCACCTGAGCCAAAGGTTGTAGGACTTCATCTGCTGCGTTCTTCTCCATCGCCCCCTGCAGCGGCTGCAGAGCCGATGTGACGGCGGCATCGAGTCGCTCCAACATCTCCTTCTTATCTGGGTCTGTGGTGGAAACCAGCTGCTCCTGGAAGGGCTGGAAACACATGGAGGTAAAGAGGATTTCACAGCTCCAGTTTAGACCAGATCGGACCTCTGCTCCGTTCCTGATCCGATCCGTAACTCACCACTCGTGCACTAAGGACGTCCTGCAGGATCTTCGCTGCCTTTGGTTGCTTCTCTCTGTACTGGTCCAGAAGGTGGTTCTGCCGGGCCCTTTTAATGATCTGAAAAAGGAAGACAGGTCAAACTCAAAGATCGTTAACAAACAGACGGAGCGGACCTGGGTGCAACCTCAGGTGACAGGTCTAGAACCTGACGTGTTTCCTGCAGACAGAATCATCCTGTAGGACAGAGGCTCTACAGTCAGACTCTCACCGGCCGTCATGCTGGTGAATCCAAAACCTTTAGATCAACACAGCTGACGTCATTCGGCGGACAAATGCAATGAAATCTGTACTCTCCCGACAATAAAAACTACTTGCCCCGGGCGATCGGGCGATGGTTAACATCGAGCCCTGCACTAAACCAGGTGGGTCCAATCTAAACGGGGTTAATTCACTCTACAGATTGGACTCACCTGGTTCAGTGACCGGGCAGAACAAACACATGACATAGAGATAAATGTTGACTCCAGATCCCCAATCTCTGTTGCTAGGTAGATTATTTTATAGGCTTGTATATTTTGGTTTTAGCCTGAGTTAGGTTAACCCAGTTCTCCTTTTCTTTTAGGGTTTTACTACCGAAACCTCCTAGCTTATATCCTAGACCCAGCCAGGGGATGTAAAAATAACACATCACCATGGTTACCGCCTACAGGAAGAAATAATTGCTTCTGGATAACAAGAAGAAGCAGAGAGAAACAGAAAATGAAACTTTTGTTAGCTTTCCTGCAGAAACCTCCTAGCTTATATCCTAGACCCAGCCAGGAGATGTAACAATAACACATCACAATGGTTACCGCCTACAGGAAGAAATAATTGCTTCTGGATAACAAGCAGAAGCAGAGAGAAACAGAAAATGAAACTTTTGTTAGCTTTCCTGCAGCATGTTGGGTCGCTTCATCCGTATCCTTTTGGTAACAAAACACAAAGCGTTGGATGTTTAACAGCCTTAAATAATCTCCAAGTCTCTTAATAAACAAACAGATCATTAAATCTTTTCAGAACCAGTTCACTTATGTGTCGATCCCAGACGGACTAATCCAGGTCTCACCTTGTCATCAATGTCGGTGATGTTCATGCAGTAGAAGACGTCGTATTTGAAGTAGTCCCTCAGTATCCGGCGCAGGATGTCAAAGGAAATGTAGGACCTGGAAAAGAGGCGGAGCAGCTCGTCTCTGGCAGGAAGACAAGTCAGGATTCTTCAGCGGAGAATGTTTCCGGGGCGGATCAGTTTACCTGGCGTGTCCCATGTGTGACGCATCGTACACTGTGGGCCCGCAGCAATACCACGTCACTCTGTTGCCCTTCTGAGGAACGAACGGCTCCTGGAGGAGGAAGAGGAGATTAAACAGACTTTAGGTCCTGGAAAAGTAAAAAACAAAACAAAACAAAAACATTTCCAGAACCAGAACTGCTGAAGTGGAAGTAACCGAGGTCTGCTGGAGAGCAGCTTACTTTATGTTTCCGTACTCACTGTTTCATATTAGAAGTTATGTTTTATCACTAAATGAAAACCCAAAGATTTTATATCTGGTTCTTTAGTCACAGGTATGGAATTATATAAAATTATTAACTAATCTGGTATTCAAATTTTTACCCAGACTGATGGTACAGTGACGCCAAAATCTGCATTTGGCTTATTTTACTTATTGCAGTAGTTATATATATATAAAATAAACATTTTCCATTCAAATAAATTTCAAATACACAGACACACATATGCATATATATATATATATATATATATATATTTATTATGTACAGCTTTGCTATTTGCAATTAACTTGCAAGGAGAAATAAGATTTTCATTTCCAAATTGCAAAAGCTTTTTTAGAAACGTTAATTTACTAAGCTATCACATTTAGAATAAATTGGCATTTTTATCTAACATTTTAGAGAAAGTAGTTTTTTTTATCCAGATTAAATCATTCTTAGTGGCCAATGATATATATAAGAAGTTTAATCTGACTTTTCATAGCACTGAGACAGCACTGTTGAAAGTTTTTAATGATTTAATGGTGACTCAGGGAATCCTGCTATGCTGGATGATCTTTAGCGCGACTTGGGCAGTTCTGGGGTTCCCCAAGGCTCCATTCTTGGACCTGTTCTTTTTCACCTGTATACGCTCTCATTAGGGTCAATTTTAAGGAACCATAATCTTTGTTTTCATTGTTATGCTGATGACGTCCAGATCTACTTTCCTTTAGCTTTAAAATCCAACAACCCCATACAGTTAAATCATGGATGACCTCAAACTTTGTGAATCTGAATGAAAGTAAGACAGAAATTACAATGTTTGGTTGTAGTCCAGCAGTTTTTGCTCCTGGCTCCTTGGGCTCTCTTACACCTAACATTCGATCATCAGTAAAAACATCTTGGTGTAATATTTAATGACAGGCTGAAATTCGATCGCCAGCTTAGTTAAAAAACATCTTTTACCAGTTAAGAATTTTATCAAAAGTGAAAGGGTACCTGCTAGGGATGCAAGATATTGGGATTTTGGCCGATATCCGATATGCCGATATTTTAAAACTCATGTAGCCGATATCGATACTGATGTTAAAGGTGGACAAAAATAAGTAGTCATTGAAAATAGCAGTTTTGTTATCCATTTCTGACACTTTGAAAAATAATATACTCAAATATATTTTCATATGCTGATATCAAATAGATTTTTAAAAACGCGGTATCGATCTATTTTACTTTCAAAATCTCGTGAAATTTCATCGTTCTGTTACAAACTCTCGTGATATTTTGCAAATTCTTGTGAGATTTTGTTAGTAAAATAGATCGATACCGCGTCAATATATCAACATATAAAAATATTGCGAAATTTGGTGAATTTTCGGGGGATTTCGTAACATAACGATGACATATAGCAATATTTCATTAGTAAAAGAGATTGATATGGTGTTTTTAAATGGCAATATATCAGCATATGAAGATATTGGGATATTTTAATGTATCAATATTTTTTCCCTCGTCTTTAGAAGTTTTTAAGTCTGTAAAAAATAAGGTTTTGAGGAAGAAGAAGAAGTAGTATTTTTTTTTTAGACTTTAGAAACTCAGAAGCTGATCAAATATCGGGTTAAATATCGGTGGGGTGGCCGATGTCCGATATTCAGTTTTAAGGGCAATACAGGCCGATACCGATAGTGGGCCGATTATATCGTGCATCCCTAGTACCTGCCACACAGAGATCTGGAGACTGTAATCCATGCTTTTATTAATACAAGATTAGATTACTGTAATTCCTTATATGCTGGTTTGGACCACTCACTTTTATACCGTCTGCAGTTGGTACAAAATGCAGCTGCCCGTCTCCTTACTGGCACATGTAAACGTGACCACATATCACCCGTTCTAGCCTCATTCAACTCACTCCCGGTTGTTTTTAGAATTTAAATTTGAAATTGTATTGTTTGTTTTTAAAGCTCTTAATGGTCTAGCCCCCCCAGTATTTGACTGAGCTTCTCCAAATCCATGCCCCGGCCAGAACACTAAGATCCTCTAATCAGCTGCTACTGACGATGCCTAAAACCAGACTTTAAACCAAAGGTGATCGTGACTTTATGGCACCGAGACTCTGGAATAACTTGCCTTGGCATATTAGATCAGAGGCTCCTTTGAGGTTTTTAAATCCTCTCTAAAACCACATTTCTTCTCCCTGGCTTTTGATCAAGTCTAAGTGGACATTTGACAACATTTTATTTTAAAATGTATTTATCTAAATTGAAACGTTTATCCTATTATATTTTATCTCTATTCATTTTTTTCTTTTTTGCATTGTGCTTATGTATTTTAGATTTCAGTTTTTATCTTATGCTCTGCAGCTGTGATTCCTGTACAGCACTTTGTCAACCCCAGTTGTTTTAAATGTGCTTTATAAATCAAATCTCTGTGCTACTCCCTTGTATTTTTTCTATTTCTTATCTTTATTTTGTTTTTCATGGTGTGTGATACATGTAGACTTGCAGCTTAATCCTTATTTATCTTGATATACTGTATATGACTGGATATACTGTGTATATATTGTTTATTCTTAATGCACCTTTTTCCTCCATGTTTGCACCTTCTGTAACTTCTATGCCAATATGTGACCAGTGAATTTCTCCACTGTGAGATCAATAAAGCTCATCTAATCTAAAATAAAGGTTGAGTTGAATTGAGAATAAGTAGCTGAATAAACAATGGATTATTGAAATTATTACTGAAATAACTGATAGATTAACAGATCAAAAAATGATCAAGAGATTAACAGAATACTGAAATAACTGACAGATTAGCGGATCATTAATCTTTAGCTGCAGCTCTATTAACAGGACGTAGATGAAGTTTAGTTCCTACTTGCAGAACCTTTTTCTCTCCTGGTTCTGTGGGGTTTTTTCTGTCTATTTAGTTAAATAAAAATCTGATTAATCAGTGAAAAGTACAAAGGTTTATTTAGCATTAAAGCTGCCGAAGATCAAAATCCTGCTGGGTGGACAGCGGAGCGGTGGAAGCTTTCTGCACCGTACCTTGGTTCTGGTCAGGCTGTTGTAGAACCGCAGCTGAGGAACCTCTGTTCCTGCGGGTGGAGACCATGGAGGCTGGACCCGCCTCCCTTTCACTGGAAAAGAACCAGACAGAAACAACCCGGCAGGATCCACGTTACAACCCAGAAACATGGCTTCCTTTCATCACTCTGTCAGCTACAGTCAGCTCATCAACTCAAATTACGTTTCTGATTAGGATTAGATTTAGCATCAGTTTTAGCCTCCTGTCAATCATCATAAAAAGTTTAAAAAGTCCAAATGTTTCTTTAACGTTTGTCCAACCAGGAGGGGAAAGAAAACCAATTTGACAAAATTATTTTAAAACATGATTCTTTCCAAATCTTGCTTTCCCCTCCAATTCAGGAGAAGGTGAAGCTGTTGTCATGGTTACTGGTCTCCTTGTACAGTCATGTAAAAATCCTCCAAATAAATATTTTTACTGCTGGAGCTCATTTTGGACCAAGAACTGACACATTTTCTATTGTTTTTTTTGTTTTATTTTTTTAAGAATGTTTTCTGGAGGAGGAAGAGCCCAAAGCATCACAGATCCTCCACCTTATTTAACCAATGGTTAAAAAGTTTGGTTCCTAATCCAGCTGCTTTTCATGAAGCGTTCAAGCCAGAAAGTGTTTCCTACAGGAACATCCTGACTGATGAAGGGAATCATCTTCTTTTCTTTTTTTTTTCCAAAACAAAGGTTGCAGTATTTCCACAGCTTCTCAGTTAGAAATAAGCTTCTGCATCAAAAACTGATTTATTTTACAGCTTTTTATACATCTTTACAAGCTGCTCTATTGAACTTCTTTAAAGTTAAGAAAAGCAGCCCGAGTTCAAAGAAGAAAGGTGGCAGAAAGCGAGAGAGCTGCTGAGAAAGGTCGTTTTCTAAGATTAAAGGAAAGTCAGGATCTCAGGAGGGAAACGGGACGAAAGCTTCCGGAAATCACCATTAAGTAAACCCAGATGCAGTGAGCAGAACCATGCAGGACAAACAGAGAATTTCAGACAGATTCTGGGGCTGCAGTTTGTTTGAACAACGATCAAAGCGACACAAACCGGCTGACGCTGCGGTTTGAACTCAAACGGCTCCAGAGCAGCTCTGGGTTCATGCGGAGAGGCGGAGGAAACCCGCTCCAGGATCCATCAACCGTTTACTCACTGCTGCCGTCTGCGGCGAGGTCCTGCTGCAGGGCGGAAATGTGTCTGTACCAGCGCAGAGCGTGGACGTGCTGCGGGTCGGGGGGTCTGGGAAGGAGCCTAAAGGCTCTCAAGTCGACCTGGGAGGGGCCGAAACCCGCCAGGTAGCTGCGTGAGGTGAGGTAGTCGTTCAGGGCCGCGGTGAGCGCAGCCTCCTCGTTAATCTGCAGCAAGAAGCCAAACTCAAAGGCTGCAGAAACAAGAGGGCAGACGTTCGCAGAGTTACCCGCCGAGCAGCAAGTGGCAGAGAAGTCAGCAAAGCTCATCAATCACACCTTTCACTCCTCATGTTTTACTTCCAAGCAGCCAGACTCTCCTTCAGCCTTTAACAGGTTTAAGAAACGCCAAAGCTGCTTTGATCCAGATCGCTTTCATAGTTTAACTAAAACTTCAGCTGCTTCAACACAAAACAACTAAGAAATTAAAGCCAATCAGCTTTTCCAGGGAACGACAGACTGAGTAAAGCTGATATAAATAAATAAAACAAAAGATGGCTGAGTAAAAGAAAACAGCTTTATTTAACTTTATGCTAACGATGCAAAACATGCAGAGTTAAAGTCCTTTCTGCGTCTCGATGGACTTAATTGACACAAACCAGCAGCTGATTTCTAATAAGATGCATTAAATAAGCTGAACCCAACAATGTTTAAATAAACTAAAATGTCTGTTAAGATTAAACAAAGCAACGGAAGAGGATTTATATAAAGGTCAGGAACAAAAGACGGTGAACATCCAGCCAACTGATCAAATAACCCAATATATAGCAAATGGGATCCAACATAAGGAAACTGATATAATGAATGTAAAACATGGGAATCCCATCAAAACAATGATAATTGAATGAATCGACTGATCCTCCTCTGCTTCAACCACTGCTCTGACTGACCGTCAGGTGCTCAGGAAACTGCCTGCTAGTTCTGAGTCCTGTTGAAAAGGGGAAATCTGCTAATTCTATCAATGGTCTGCATGTGGAGCAGGTTTGTTTTTCCTTTTCCTTTGTTACAAACAAGATGATGAAAAACTAAAAACATACAGAGACCATGAAAGTGAAATAAAAAGCTGTAACTTAGCAGAACCATCACAGGGAAACACATTGGAGGGAAGATCAAGAGCAGGATGAAATTAAAGGGAAAGCAGCAGATATACAAGCAATACGTTTATTTAATTTAAGCTTTTAGAAGTAGTGATAATGATAAAGGGTAACAGGAGCTGCTTAGATTTGTTAAAAGGAAGGGGAGTGGCGGCGGCCTATTGTTTATGACAAAGAGCCTGGAATCCAGAGGTTCTGAGTTCAAGTCCCACAGACTGCCACTCTGGGTCCCTGAGCAAGACCCTTAACCCCACACTACTCCCCAAAGGGTTGGGTTAAATGCAGACAGTTCATTTCACTGCTCTGTAGTTGTGGCAGTGTAATGACAATAAAAGCTGGAGAAGAAAAACAACATTTTTTTATGGAACCAAAGAAACATTTAGATCTTCTTTTTTTGTTAGAATAAAATAATCAGATTTTAATAAAGCTGCTATAAGCTTCTATAAACAGGAAAATAGATACAGTAATCATTTTTAAACCACAACATATATGACTGAGTCGATCAGCTGACAGATGGACAGAAGGGAACATTTAGAGAACATCATATGTTTTTGGTTAGATAAAGACTTTACCAACTTAATACAATACGCCGAATGGAGATTATCTGTTATAGCTTGAAGATCACCAATTTACTAATGTGTCTGTCTTACAGAAGTCAAACGCTGCCATTAAAAATCTTAAATTGTTGTGTTTTTAAATGGAGTTATGTTGCTTTAGCCGAGTTACAGCTAATAGGGGCTAGTTTGAACCGACAGCCACTGAAATATTAAAACGAAACTGTTTGTGGTTTTTATCGACTGAATATTTCAGTAATCGGGGATAAAAACAGTCAGTTAATGAAAGGAAAATGTGTACCTGTCTCTGCTGAGCTCGACATTTCCACAGTGCTGAATGAGATGCTGATGCAATAATAACCGGGACCGGAAGGAGAAACAGGAACTAATGTTTTAACACTTGGGAGCAGGGGACGCCTATGTGTGACGGACTCTGATACACATGTGTTGATTCTGATACATTTTAGGCGTTTATTTCGTTTAACTCTTATTATAGGGACCGGAGTGACAGGACGCGTGTTACTAAGTTGATTGTGGAGAAATGTGGGATGTGCGATCATTGTGGGATGGAAGAAGAAAATAGTGAAAATGAAGAAGATTGGAATTAGAAAAAGCGGAAGTTCTGTCAAGTTATGAACAATATAGAAATTCCACAGGAAAATAAAATGATTACAAAGTAATATTTAAACTAAGGAGTTAATTATTATTTATTATTAATTAATTAAATAATGATTTAATGTAATTAATTAATAATTCATATATTAATATGTTGTAATAATTATTATTATTAATTAATACATTAATAATAAATTATTATTAATTATTTAAATTCAGGGAGACTCTTTTGCAGATTGGAATCCAGTGCAGTAAACAAAATCGTCGATAAACAAACTTATAGAAGTCCAAAGTGCCAAAATACTGTATAGTGGAGACCTGTTAATAAACTGCAGAGACGGCGTGCAACAAGGCAAAGCCATACGAATTAACAAGATTGAGGGGAAAAGAGTTAAGTGCAGCTTGGTGGAGGACAAAAGGATTAGCGGAGCAACTTGTTTGATCAAAGTTAAAATCTATTTTACTTCCTATGTGACCACAACTTATTAAGTCGTGGCCACAACTCATCTATCTTAGTAAGTCGTGGCCACAACTTAATAAGATAAGTTTTGGCCACGACTTAATAACTTGTGGCCATAACTTAGTAAGTTGTGGTCAAAACTTAAAAAGTCGTGGCCACAAGTTATCTATCTCTTCAAACATCTTAAAAAAAAATTCTGCCCATGTCACCAGATGGGCTCCGTAAGGAGGAGTAGAACATGTGTTCATTTATTGTAGAAAATATATAAAAGATGACAGAACTGGAAAGGGTAATGGGGAGTTCAGTAAATATGGTTAATTTATTAGGGAAACATCAATCACATGATATAGTTAAAGCACTTATTAAGTATTTAAAAGACACAAAATTAGATTAGAGGATTTTGTATTTATGTGTGTGTGAGTATAAGTATGTATTTAATTTAGTTTTTTTTTTTTAAGATACATAGAGATTTTTTTTTCTGAATTACATCTCCGTCCACTTGATGGCGGTAATACACATAGTCTGTAAAGTGCCATAAAACACCATAGAAGAAGAAGACAGAAAAGACCCGGAAGTTTGTTTGTTTGTTTGTAAAATCTGAAGTGAAAGTGCAGCAAACGTTTCCAGCTTTAGCTGAATGGGGAGTTATTCCTTCAGTCTGAGCTGAAATGTCGCAGTTTAAGGAGTATAGCGATGCTGTGAGGCGTCTTTATGAGCGCTACACGGAGTTTGTGAGGAGAAACCCTGCAGCTACAGCCCAGCTGGAGAACACAGTCCGAACACTGTCCTACCTAATAGCAGGTGAGCCCTGAACTATTCACACCCAGACAAACGCGGCCTCACTTCAGCCACAAGTCAGTTTTTTTATTCGGGTTTTATGTTGTAGATAAACTAGAAGTGTTGACTAATTGTAGAGTGAAAAACAATTAATAAGGTGAAATGTTAAATACGTGATATCCTTAAATGTTATACCTGCTGAAGAAAAGCTTCATCACAGGTGCAGGTTCAACATAGTGGTGGCTGCATCATGCTGTGGGGATGCCTTTCTCCAGCAGAGACAGGAAAGCTGGTCAGCTGGTGAGGGGAACTAAAACCAGGAGGTTCCCCTTCCAGGAGAACCAACGCTGGAGTTTAGTTCAGGAATCTGTGGCGAGATTTAGTGATGTTCAGAGAAGATCTGACTGAACCTGAACTGAAGAAATGATCAGAAACCATCAGTCTGTAGATGTTCAAAGCTGGCAGATAAACTGTCAGCTGAAGGTGCTGCAGGAGTTCTGCTCTCTTCCACAGTCTGATCCATCATTTTCCTCCCTATGATCCAAGCTTCAGGTGCATCTTTTTAAAGTGTCCTGATTCTCAGTTCTTCAGATTTTTGAGACAGTTTTTTTTTTTATTTCTGTCCTGTTAGTCAATCCTTCTGTAACACAGTTTAGTTTTTAGTCAGTTTGCTGAAATCCTTTCTTATTTCTGCAGACCCATGAGCGTAGGTTTGCATAAGGACCATGGGGACAAGTCCCTACCAAAACTTTGGACGGACCTACCTGTCCCTACCAACAATTAGATGTGAATACCATGTTTATAATTTACAATACATCGTTGTTGCAGCAGTAGAGGAGTTCTGGAATGGGGAATATTGACAGACGAAAACATGTTTTATCTAAAATGGAAAATGTTTATTTTTTTTTTTTACAATTTTGGTGTAATTCTTGCTCTTAGTTGGTCGCTCTGTGAGCTAAAGACATCTTTTAGAGTCTAGATACTCCATAATGATCAATCGATTACTAAATTTGTTGACATTATTTCAATAATTGATTAATCCAATGAATTGTTTCAGCCATAAATAAAATACATGAAATGGGTTAAACAGAGTAACTACAGCCTAGATGTAGAGCTTGTAGAGTGAAGTTAATATATTAAATAGGGATGCACGATATAATCGGCCCCCTATCGGACATCGGCCACCCCACCGATATTTATCCCGATATTTGATCAGCTTCTGAGTTACTAAAGTCTAAAAAAATCTCTTTTACTAATGAAATATTGCTATATGTCATCGTTATGCTACGAGATCCCCCGAAAATTCACTAAATTTTGCCATATTTTTATATCTTGATATATTGACGCGGTATCGATCTATTTTACTAAAAAAATCTCACAAGAATTTGCAAAATATCATGAGAGTTTGTAACAGAACGATGAAATTTCACGAGATTTTGAAAGTAAAATAGATCGATACCGCGTTTTTAAAAATCAATTTGATATCAGCATATGAAAATATATTTGAGTATATTATTTTTCAAAGTGTCAGAAATGGATAATAAAACTGCTATTTTCAATGACTACTTATTTTTGTCCAGCTTTAACATCGGTATCGATATTGGTTATCGGCTACATGAGTTTTAAAATATCGGCATATCAGATATCGGCCAAAATCCCAATATCGTGCATTCCCTAATATTAAATGATCAGTATCAGTTTCTCTTCTATTTTCAGTGCTCATATAAATACAATACATTTATTTGGCGTCCCTTGAATCTATTATTTTGTTTTGTTTTAATGATAAAAAGAGAATATTTAAAAGATAAGAGTGGGCTTTACCTCTGTTTACCTCTGCACAATTCTATATCTTCAAAAAAAAAGTAGAAATCCACATATAACAGACATATTTAGACTATATTCTGTTAAATAGGCACAGATTTACCTACTGTCTTAGGTAATTTCAAATGCAAACCTTTTCAAAGTGGAAAAAAGTCCTATTTCCTCATTCATCAGAGCCAGTAAAGCGTCAGTCATTGATAAACAGCATCTAGTGTGTGTAGCGCTTATAAAATTTGGATAAATGTAGCAAGAAATGCTGCTTTTCTCTTTAAACGAAATACATCCTGATTTTCATGTCAAGCATAAAAAAACGAGCATGCATATTATTGCATAGGACCAATGACATCAGACCAACAGTGTCCCTACCAAAGTTGAAATCAAACCTACTGTGCAGACCGAGTTCAGGCAGCTGTCAGACCAAACATGCAGCCAATCATTTCTGTTTCCAAACCTGCAAAAAGTCATCAAGCGCCGCAGTGAGGGCGGGTTAAATGATCGCAGAGACTAACATGTTCCTCCGTTTATCTTTCAGGGCGCTTCGCTGATTCTCATGAGATCTCTGAGCTTGGTGAGTAAAGAGCCGCTGCAGGATTCTCTCACACCAGAACCTGCCCTGAGTTTTGCTTCCTGGTCGGATCCTTCCTAACAATAGATTTATGCTTCTAACAAGAATTTTCCAAACTCTGCTGGTTTAAACTAAATCATAGTTTGTGGAGAAAAAATTGAAATGCTTTATTTTTTGGTTTGTTTGAATTTTTGACCACATAAATTCACCTGAAGCTTATTTTGTCCAGAGAAAGCTAAACTTTTACAGTAAAGAGACCTGGATCATTCTTTTTTTTGTTTGTTTGTTTGTTTGTTTTAATGTAAAATTGAAAAAATACTAAATAAAAAAAAAAATAATAAAAAAAAAGAGACCTGGATCAGATAATGAGGAGAGATCCAATTTTAACCAAAATAATTTTTTGATTTTATTGGCTGGAATCTAAAATCTCTGATATTTTCATGCTGATAAAAACTTTGGAGCAAGAGCTTAATACAAAGGAAAATCAGAATAAAATGTATGTGTAGCTTCAGTAGAAAATAATCAAATGGCGCTAATCTCTGCTCCAATAGTTGCAGTTCCTCAGTCAGGTCTCCTGCACAAAAACCCAAAAGCAGCCTCTACTCCTGCTGGTTTAGCAGGATGACTCCTTCAGCAAACATTAGCTAAGCCTCCAGGGGGCGATCTGATGGCAGCGGATGTAGGAGTTTTTACCCTGCGAGCGAAGCCCGGGCTTTCAGCTTCATTGTGTCCTCGGAGAAAAAACCGCTCACCCTCGCCGCCTACTGATGGAGGTCAGAGGTGGCGCCTGTGTACAGTGAGCAGAAGCGAGGCTGATCTCACACTGGAGAAATTCCCCTCTCCACTTGACCCATGACCCGGGAGCAGTGCCTGTAGTGTAAAGCACTTTGGTTCAAGGTAATTGATTGGTGATTGCTCTACTTATCTTCCAGTTTACTCTGCATCCAACCTTTTGGTTCTGTTCAACGACAGCATCCTGCGTAAAGGACTGCGATGCGCCTTCTCTGTGGTGAGCACGTTTAATCTCTTCCTTATGGTTAATCTGGATGAAGCTGAGAGATTTCTGCAGATGCTAGAAGCTCAGATTGTGTTTGAAGGAGATGAATTATCGTTTGGATCAAATTGTTTTCCTAAAGTTTGGTGAATTTTCCCTGCACCACCCTCCTGCTGTGTGTTTGTGTTCAGCCAC